TAGTTGACTCAGCATGTTGCACATACGTTAGTAATACATAATAAGTTGGATCTTGCAGGCCTTTAAAATCATAATCTATACACTGTAAGAAAAAGAGCTAACAAAACAGTTTTAAATAAAACCATCATTAAATATTATATGCATACACGTATTTGTTCCATTGTTAGGCCCATATGTGCAGCAAATTCTTGCCACCCATTATAAGTTTTCCCTGTTGCAGTAGAACTTAGTAATAAACATAATTTTTGTAATGTGGTTTTTCCAATCTCTTCGAATAGATAAGAAGCATGAATTTGTGCTGTAGCTCTTTGAATATTTAATGCTACAGTATCTAAATTTGGAGGACCATCAACCTCTCTTCTCAACTTTTCCAATTCAGGATCAACATTGCTGAAATACAAAATATTTTATAATTAATGAAAACATTTTTTTTTTCTACAAAAAAATTTTTTTTTCTAATTCAGTAATAATTCTTACCCTTTTGCAAACATGTTTATAAAGTATATATAATTTATGTTCCTGTGTCACATTTTTTGTAGAGAGATATAGATCATTCATAATTTGTAACGTAATACAATAGTTTTATAAAGCACAATGCAAGAAATTATGCTTAATAATGTACAAATTTTAATAAATGCACTATAGTTTTCTCTTCCTTTCTCGTTTCAAGGTTAGTGACTCACGTCCGGCCTGATTTTACCGCTAAAATTCGAAATTTCTTCCGATCGCTGTAATAAGAAACTGAATTGAATTAAATTAAATTAAATATTTCAGATTTTATAAAATATTTGACAAAAATCCGTTTACTAGTCGTAATAAAGCCGAGCAATTACTAGATTGGATACATAAATTTGATAATTCCATTCAATGTAGTGATTCATGGTTTGATGTTTCTGCAAAAGAAATTGTAAATTATTGGACCTGTGATGGAGATCTTGTACTTAATTGGAAGGGTCATGGCTATAAAACACTGTTTGCTTTATTATCTGTATGTATATTTTATATCACTAATAATTACATTATATACGTATATGTAGCAATAGTTCATTTTTCTTTTATTTCAGCAAAAAATATCAAATGCAAAAAATAAATTGCCTATAATGGAAAAAATAGAATTTAACAAAGATGTTTATAATATTGACTATACTTCAGATAACAATATAATTGTAAAAACAAAAGATGGTTCAACATATAAAGCATCTCATGTTATATTTACTGCATCTCTTGGTGTTCTAAAAGAAAAACACAACACAATGTTCACTCCACTTTTACCTGGAACAAAGCAACATGCAATAAAGGTACGGTAAAAATTTAATATTGATGGTTAATATGGAAATTTCCCTACTTTTTCGTATGCACTTAATTTAAAACACAATTGTAATATGTTATTTAGGGTTTAAATATTGGAACTGTAAATAAAGTGTTCTTGGAATTCCCACATAGATGGTGGCAAGAAGAGTGTGCAGGTTTTAGTTTAATATGGTCTAAGGAAGATAAAGAAGAATTTATTAAATCTTATGGACAAGTATGGACAAGTATATAGCTATATCCTTTAATATTGATAAACATTATCAGTATTGGTTCTTAAATATATTCACCATATATAATGTAGGATTATGAGTGGCTATGTGATGTGTTTGCATTTATTTCTGTGGATTATCAACCAAGAGTACTATGTGCATGGATCTCTGGTAAATTTGCAAAACAAATGGAGTTACTGTCTGATAATGATGTATTTGATGGACTATATTTATTACTAGAAATGTTTTTGAGTAAAACGTATAATATTCCAAAATTTGATCAAATGATTAGGTAATAATTTGTAATATTCCCTTCTTTGGTATTCTAATGTTAATATGTATTATATTATTTATAGATCATCATGGTATACTGATGAATGTTTCCGTGGATCGTACACCTTTAAAAGTATAACAACTGAAAAGCTAAACGTGAAAACGGAAGATTTAGCTGAACCTATTATATTAGCTGATGGGAAACCTGTATGTATTTCCATTAACTGAATAATTAAGGAAAAATGGGTATCAGATTCTTTTATAATTTTTATTCAATAGATAATCCTCTTCGCTGGAGAAGCGACGCACGAACATTATTATTCTACTGTGCATGGCGCAGTTGAAACGGGTTTCAGAGAAGCTGATAGAATAATAGATTTCTATAGGTAAATTTTATAACATTTACATATATAATTAGTATTTCAATTTTATTTGGGATATTTGGGTAACTACGGTGTAAAATAGTGCAGTCTTTCTGATTACTCATTATAGTTGAGATAAAAGGTTATTACTTATACATAATGATTCTGTGGATGATTAAACAGTAACTGATTCTAAAATAAGCTTATTTTGTGATCATCGCATGGCTTAAAAGATTCTGTGTGACTTGATTTTTATTTTCCAATATCATTTATGTCTTTAAATTTGTAATTCACACTTCGTGTCTTATGCAATCATATCTGTTTTATTTTTTAATCTTAAAAATAATATCTAGGCGCGCACACATACAAAGATAATCTGCGTAATCTATGACAATTATACTTGTCCTTTTTTTCATTAATTTCTTTGACTTGTTCTTCAATCTGAAAAAGTAGTATGAATGAAAAAGCTAATTTATATTAAAAGTGTTTATATTGAATCATATATTCTATTTCTATTGATTAGCATGCTTCTTAGGCGGTTAAAGCCTCAGCTCTAACCAGAGCCACATTTCTTCATAAGGGACCACGGTAAATTATAGATTTACTTGATGATTTACATTTTAAAAAACATTCTTTATATAAACATTAAATATATATTTCCAATGTATTGATTTAATCAATAACCATTTATTTTTATTATTTTATTCTTCCAACAAAAAGAAACTTAACATATAAATTTCACACTTAGCAGTAAATAAATAAAATGCATGCATGTCTATTCTTGCTGCATTGTTGATTTTGCTACTATCGATTTACAAGCAGTAAGTAATATATTTTTCTATTAATTAGGTAATTTTCCTTCTTGATAGAAGATTACGATATTGTTATATTTGTTAATTATTTAAATTTGTATATAGTAATAATTCGTACATACATGTTAAAAATTGATTACAATTATAAACAAATTGTCAAAATTGAATAAAGAAAGAAAAATCACAATTCTAATCACGTAGAACACGTGGTTGCATAAACAACTTCCATAAACTGGAAAGGACAGTGAATGCGTCAAGCCAAAAAGTAACAAGAACGAAACTTGTAATAGTAGGTGCAGGTATTGCGGGATTAGCGGCTGCGAAGACATTAGACGAAGCAAATTTCAAAGATTATCTATTAATCGAAGGTAATTAAACATGGTATCGGAATTGCATCCAGTAAGTATGATATTTACTGTTTATTTTCTCACAGCGCAAAATGAAGTCGGTGGTCGAATTCAATCTATTCCGTGGAATACAGCTTGGATAGAATGTGGGGCGCAGTTTGTGCACGGCGATCAAAGTCAATTAGCCCAATTATGTTATGAACATGATTTACTCTCAGATATACAATATCAAGATGGTCAAGGAATTTTCATTCGCAATAATGGTTGTAAAGTAGATGAAGCTTTGATAGAGGAGATAGATGACCTTGTTCGCACTACATTAGAAGATTGCGAAGATTGTGAAAACAAAGATATCGAAGTAGGCTTTGAAAATATCGATGCGGTTTTGAGAAATTGTCTCAATAAACATTTATATAAAAAGAATGACCCATTACCAATAAGAACCATAAAGAAGGAAATTTTTGATTGGAATGTTAGATTTCTTGTAATTGATAATGCTTGTTTCACACTTGATGAACTGTCCACGAAATATTGGGGAAAATTTAAGGTAAATACGGGTCAATTGTAATGTTGAACTTATACAGGAAAATTTAATAACGCTAACTATTTCATTTATAGTATGTCGGCGGCTCAGAACACGTGTTGTTTAAATCCTGATATACGGCTTTACCCAAACTTATCGCTGATAGTTTGGGTAAAGAAAATTTATTACTTAATACCTCTGTTGATTCAATCGAGTGGCAACGAGTAATAGATAATGATTTCAATTCCCCACTTATTATAAATATCTCTAACAATACTCGTATTCTTGCGGATTGTGTAATAATTACCTGCTCTCTCGGTTATTTAAAAGAGAATTATAAGAAGATGTTCATTCCCCCCTTACCGAATCTCTTCAGCCAGGCAATCGAATGTTTAGGTTTCGATTTAATAAATAAGGTTTTCCTCGATTTTGGTGTCCCTTGGTGGAAACCTGGTACCAAAGGGTTTCAATTACTTTGGAAAGAAGGAGTATTTTGCAATAAAAATCTGGCTATATGGACTAGAGATCTGACGGGTTTCGATGTTCTGCCAAATCACGAAGGTGTACTCCTTGGTTGGGTTGGTGGACGCGGAGCTTATATTATTGAAACTTTAAGCGAACAGCAGGTCGCAACGGACTGTGAAAATTTACTTAAACATTATTTAAGATTTGACAAAATACCACCAGTAAAAAGATGTTTGAGGACTCGGTGGAATGCAAATAAGTATGTTCGTGGCAGTTATAGTCATATTACAACAAGATGTGACGCGAATGGCATTACACCACACACTTTAGCAGAGGCGATATGGGGCAAGGCAAAAAAATATGACAATAAGGTAAGAAAAATCAACACACTTGATCATGAAATGCTCGATGCAACGAAAATTAATTTATTTTAGGATGTACCTATCATTATGTTTGCTGGTGAAGCAACGCACGAGAATTTTTACTCTACGACGCATGGTGCTTACGATACTGGAGTAAAACAAGCACAAACGTTTTTACGATATCACGTCGTTAAGAATTAATTATACATAATTTTAAATTTCTAAGAAATATGAATGAAAGTACTTTGAAATATGTGGGTACAGTCGCATATAAAAAACACGCGTGCACACATTTCAAACTTAATAAAAAATTTCTTGCGTTTTATATATGTACAGTTACGTATATAATTTTTATCGTATCGTGTTTATTAGCATATTAATAATGTTTATAATCATATTAATTATGAACAATTTTATCTAAATAAAATGTATTATTTTGTCATTGCATTTTCAATTATACTATTAATTGTCGTAAAGATTTATTAATCTTTCAGCTTCTCTCCACCCAGAGGCAATTGCTCCATGTACTGTAGAGTAGTGTTTTTTGTTGGTAGCTTCACCTCCGAATAGAATTACCTAAAAGAAACAGATGAAACAATATGTAATCTGGTATTCATTTTTTGAAAAATTCGTTCAAATAAAACTTACGGGTTTCCCCATTTTCATAATTGGCTCTGATAATTCCTTCGCGGTAGAGTTCATCCTTATAGAATCTATGCTCTGATAACTGTATGTACCCCGAAAATGCTTATTTTGATGCCATTTACTCCTATAAACGAAATGAATGTCGTCAGACAGAGATAAGAATAGATAGAAGCTGAAAGATTGGTACCTTATCATCGCTACTGGCCTAGTGACATTATAATGTTTCAACAACATATTATTTAATATTTGTACTGTTTGATCAAAAACTTCATCATCAGTGAGGTCATCCATTAACCGCGCACCTCTTCCAGATACCCATGCTTGCAATAAACGAGGCTTGTGATCGACAAAGTTAAAGCCTGCTGTGTAAGGCATCCACCTCATTTTTGGCTAAATAAAATAAAAATATAATTTATGTTTATATTATATACAACTAAATTAACATATTCGTTTGTAGCGCAACTTTAAAATCTTACATCACTCTCAAGCTTCTCTCTTTCTTCTTTACTCCACAAAATTCTATATCCTGCGTTGTTCGTTTCTGTGGGAGTAAACCAAATATCATCGAAGGCTAAAAATATTTTACAAGCATTTCCAAATCCCAGTCCCTAAAACGAAAGTTAAATATCGTTAATTAAACTTTAATTTCTTCTGCGGAAAAAGGAAATATACCTTAATAGTCTTAATTTTTGATTCCGACAATGAAGGATTAAAGAGAGTTTCGTGCTGTGCTTTAAGCACTCCTAAAGAAGGTGTCATGATGACATGATCGGCTATATATTCTTTTCCATCGAGCGTTGTTATTTTCACGGTATTATCGTCACTGGAGTAATCAACTTTCGTTACTTCAGCATTAAGTACCGTTTTGTTTAGCACAGGTAACTCATCCTCCGGATTTGGAAATCTTTTCTATTTAAGAAATTTACGGTAAATAAGCATGTTCAACGAATAAAATATATTGTCGTAAGATAATAAACACCAACCATTAATATATCGAGAATAGTACCATATCCTCGTTTTCTCCAATTGATCGCCAGATCACCTTCGCACACATCATAATTGGTATACGTTTTCGCTGCGATATCGAACCAGTCATCGGCAGGATCAAAGCTAGTCTCCATTAAATTCAACAGCCACAATATTTGATCCTGTAGAGTTTCATTTAATTCCGGAAACATCTTAAAATCGTCTTTGAACCTAATGTAAAGTCATTTTAGATCAATGTATAAAGTATATGGTAAGGTATGCGCGTCACTTCAGATATGAATTTAGGACAGGCACATAATAATTCATAGATTCATCATATTAAATTATAATGTTAAAGAACAGACGAATTCAATTATATAACGGAAGTAATAATATTCGAGAGCACATCCCTAATATTGCATACTAATATATAAATTCTTATTATGATATTATATATTATTCAATTATATTATAAAATTATAAATAATATATATATAAATAATACTATAACAACAAATAATAATGTCACTATTAAATAATATTTTCTTCCTGCTTTTTGCTTGTTCTCAACTTTGCGATCTTTTGAATACCATATGACCTGGTTCGTACAGTTATGAATTACATTCAAGATAAATTTCTGATAAAACAATTACTATATATTCATTTGAATCTTTTTATCCTGAGTACATTCATGAAGCGACGATATAAAAAAATTCGTACTTGTATATGAGACATTCGCCGACGGAATGCTGACACTCATCATCCGACATCTCCGGACTAGTACGCCCAAAAGATAGGTAAGTATCCGTAATGTTCTTTGTGATTCTAGGATCGAGTAATTCACCAGTAGATGTGTATATTTCATCGTTAAATGGTTTGGAGTGATCTGTAATGTTCAAAGGAGCTACCAATTCGTACGCAACATTTCCCTTCTCTCCGTGAACCCATTGCGCGCCTAAATCGATCACGTACTCGTCTACAAACGTAAACAGTCTATCAATCTTATTTTGTAATTGCGCATACCCTATTGCTACCTTAGTAAAAGCTAGACTCACCAAATTTTACTGTATTTACCCGTCCACCGATTCGATTCTCGGCTTCCAAAATAATAAGATTTTCAAAACCATTCTCGATCAATTTCGACGCAGCCGCGATACCAGACGCTCCAGCACCAACGATCACTATACGCGGCGATTTAGTATCTTCAGAAATCGTGCCTGAGATGAGGCAAAACAGAAAGATCAAGTAATAGAGCATCTCCGACGGTAAAATGAACTCTGCGCGCACAAACTTTTATCAATTGACAGATTGGACATCTAGTTTTACGTGATAACCCTTATATATACTGTATGCTCTTGTTCATATAATAATTTGCTTTTGTTAAGCAATAGTGATAGTATCTGGAGTATGTAATTAGCAATAATAACATCGGTCAGATAATGGCTAATAATGAGAGATAATGAAATTATTCTTTCCATAAATTACTGCATAATTTAACCTATAACTTTTAATAGTTTTTTTAATACATTTTATCGTCTAGAAATTATGTAATGAATATGGATCTTTTGCTTGGAGAGTAATTCTCTTCGGTTTGATATTTTAGAACTATAAACTTTCAACATTTTATTTAAACCAACTGTAACGATAATATTATAAAGCATGCTAAATAAATATGACAAAGAGATTTTAAAATGAAGAATTTTTAAAAGACTAAAAAAGATAAACATTTTTTAAAAAATGCCTAGGTTATTTCGATTTCATTTCTATCCAGTTGCTGGATTTTCGAATTATGTACATCGAAGCAAACAAGATTATTGTATTTACAATACAAAAATTAATAGTGCAACTATTAGGAAAATTCCCCTACGATAAGAAAGCATTAATATTTGTGACTTAAAACAGAGTCACGTGATATCGGGAACGCATTACGAAGATCCACAAATTAGCCAATCGCAGGCTATTTCGAATTATACACACTGATGGTACGTCCGTACATTGGTGGTTGGATCCATATATTATTCTTAATAAATGCATCATTTTGTAATCACTGCTGATCCATTATAGAAATTTAATGATAAATGGAAGCTTAAGGTTAACAGTAGAAAAATCATGTGTTTATCTATCGAATATTTTGTTAGCGATATAAATGATCTTTTGCCTTCCATAATACCATTTTAATTCAAGGACCAGGAAAGATCACTTGTGCACATTACAGAAATGACACTTCAATTTAACATTTTTACTATATGTTTAATATTAATATTTAACATAGCGTTAATTGTGTCCTCGAAAACAGCAGGTTAACTATATTTTATACTTTATACTATTTTTCTGCTTCAAGTATTTTACATGATCTCGTGAAAGGTTGCTTATAATTTTTTTTATATCCTGACTATAAATTATTTTCTTTTCCTTAAATAACAAATAAATATAGTTGAATATATTTTTAGAAAACTTAAATAAGAACAAATTTGAGCCATGGAGATTAAGTGATAACATCTACAATAATCCATTTCTTCGTAATTCAGGCAACAGTGAAAGGTATAAAAAGAATCCTTTCTTATCAAATATTTCAATGTTGTCTGTTTCGTATAATGGGAATAGTACTGAATTGAACAAAACACCTGTAAATAGCAAATCACTCAAGGTATCAGAAAGCTCTATTTTTAATATATCTACTTTTAATAATAATCCTTTCGTACCACATGATTCTAATACAACTAGTATTCCATATATTTCAATATTCCAGGTATTTCCCATGAATGATTCATATCTTAGCACAAGTATGCAGAATAAGAAGGTATCGATGGATAAAATTCCAAGTATAACAAATCCATACATATATTCAAAATCAAAGTCAGAACTTAGTAAGTATTTATGTCTAAGTGAAACAACCTTCTTTGTTGTTTATAATGTTAATTGTTAATAATTTCTATGTACTAGAATGTGAGGAATATGAAAGACAAATCTTAGGCACAACAAATGCATTGTCTTTAGTGGGTACAAATCCAGAGGTGATTACAATAACTAATCAAAAATGTAAGACCACAAACCATCTTGTTGTTGGAGGTATCGATGCTTCTCCTGGAGAGTTTCCTCACATGATTGCTTTAGGCATTAAAGCTTCAGATGGGTCATTTATTTTTTCATGCGGTGGCACTCTTATCGCTCCAGAATGGGTACTTACTGCTGCACACTGTACTTATGGGCCAAGGTATTATTTCATCTTATTTATCATGCTAAGTTTTTAATGTAAAAATTACTTAAATACTACTATCTTCTGCAAAATAGAAGCCCTACAAATGCTCGTATTGGTATGTCTAACTTGAGAAATAATCAACAAGGTATCACAACTACGATCAACAGGATAGTACGACATCCAAGTTATAAACCTCCTGCTATGTATGCTGACATAGCTCTTTTAAAACTAAGTACAGCTGTTGCCTTTAACAATGAAATAAGACCTGCTTGTTTATACCAACGATATGATACTGTGCCTATGCAAGCATGGATCAGTGGTTGGGGAGTCACAGAATTTGGTAAGATCAAAGTATTGATGAACAAACGAGACTAAAATTTCTTTAAAAAAATATACCTGTTATTATCGATACCTTTAGATGCGGAAGAAGAGAGTGATCAACTGCAAAAGGCTCTTCTTAATATTGTTGATAACATAGATTGTGCAATAAAATACAATGAGTCCATATCAATAGCAATACCACATGGAATTATGCCAAGTATGATTTGTGCAGGAGATACTCTCAGTGGTTGGAATAAAGATACTTGTCATGGAGATTCAGGAGGCCCCTTACAAATACCCCATCCAAGAAATGAATGCTTATTTCAAGTATTAGGTATTACCAGTTTCGGACAAGGCTGTGCAATTGTCAATACACCTGGAGTATATACTAGAGTTTCACACTATCTTAACTGGATCGAAGATATTGTTTGGCCATAAATTTTGTTTTGTATCATTAATGTACACCTTAGTTTGCAAAGATAAAAAATTGTTTATTTTTCCAGCAACATTTCGACTGATTTAAAGATTAAAAGTTAAAAATACATTTGATAATAATGTTTAAAAGTGTAGTAATGTTTGATAAAAGTGTTATCTGTCAATGTATGTACATATCAAATAATCTTATTAATGCACAAAGTGAGTGTTATTTTTATGACATTAGTATTTTCAGATTATATTAATATTGTTTGAAACATGTGCACATAGTACTATATAATTGTAATATAGATTGACTAGAAGATTTTTTAATCTGTAAGAATGACTTCAGGGTGACTGTAAATAATAAGTGTAACTTCTGCCATTATTAGGCATGAAAATTATACTCAAGATATTTTTGTATCATGAATGGTCTTCCATGTGAGACCATCTCCATATGGTCCATGATTAGATGGAAAAAGTATATGCCACCAACTTCTGTGATATGGAATATAAAGTTATAATTATATTGTAAAATACTTATTAATAAATATTTAGTGTTTTAGATTACCTCCCAATTATACCTAGAAACAGCTTCCAATTTTGTCTTGGTCCAAAATCATATGGATTTTGATATATTTTACCAAGTGCTTTATACTTCTGTGTTTCTGTGCTATTTATACGTGCTTCTATACTTGTTTCTCCTCTAGTAATGAGACCCGCGTGCCAACATGTTAAAGCTCCTAATGCTGCAAAAGTAGCCACGCAAATTAGCGCTGCAAAAACTATAAGTCGACGGTTCCATTCTTTAATGCTTGTATCTGCAGCTTGTTTAGCTATTTCAGCTAATTCCTCTTCACTTAGATGATCTAGTGATTCAGACTAAGATACAAACAAATAATTAAATAAATTCGATCTAATTATTAAATTCATTTTTCGCAAATAGAACTATAATAATTACCACAGGAATTATCTCAGAATTATTAATGCGTACTGGATGACCATCTAATTCTGGTTCTTGTGCTGGAAAGAATTCTTGATATGCTATTTCTACACCAAACAACATTATGAATAAAATACCAAGTACTGTAAAAACCATGTATTGAAAAAAGTATCTATGATTATGATGACCAACGCAATTGTTTAACCATGCTGTTTTTTTGTTTAGGAAATATATAGGGTTTTTAGGCAACACTAAGATAATATATCATATATTCAAAAGGATACGGCAGTGATGATCCATCTTAAGAATACATTTGTTGCATACAGAGCAATGATGTGTTCTGGGTGGTTTTGGTTTAATACATTTCTTACAAATACTCACAGCCTCTGGTATAAGACCACCTTCTGGCGGATAACCAGCTGGGACATTTACTCCCATATAATAATGAAAACATACATTTACTAATAACCAATTTCCAATCACTAAGAGGATTATTGTCATCAATGGACTCTTTTCCCACCAATATGGTAGACCGATGTAATATGCAATGTACACGATACTTGCAGTTAAAAGACTTACCATTACTACAAATACCTGTAAACTGTCAAACTTAGTAAATACATTGTGAACAATAGCAATTTTTTTTATAAGAATCACATAAAGATATAAGTAAAAAAAAAGTAATATACATGAAATTAGGAAAGTTTACGAAAGTACTCACCGGTCCTAAACAAGCAGTAAAATTTTCTACAAACCAGAACATTGGTTCTAGAAGTATGTCACAAACATAACCCCAATTTAAAAATTCATTATAAAATAAAGATTTTATAATGACTTGAAAACGCCACCATTTTTGTTTTAAGTTAAGTCTAAAAGCAACGAAATATAATATAATATGTTCAAGCAACTAAAATGTTTGCTCTTTATTATTTTTTATTACTCACTTAAGAATATTAGGCGCTTTGGTTAAAGACCACTTTATTCGTACCATCTTTTTCTTATATAAATTTCAGTATATCGAATCGTTTAAAATTTCATTGAAGATAAATTTTTAGAAATCGAAATAACTACAACTACTAACACTGCAATTGAAAAATGAATAATTGTTACACAGTATACTATATAACATGTTCAATGTTGCATTGGAATTCTTTTTAGAGTACGTTGTACGGCGTTGAAAGTGTATTTCTCGCAAAACACACAGCTCAGAACATTCTTTTTCGCTTATCAAGTTGAAGCATCGATAACGATTATTCTAATTCAACTTTAAATACAAGAAACAAACTATACTAATGATTAACGGAATTACATGTCCTATACACAAGTTATAACACTGTGCAGCGCCACTGATAGAGGATTACTATACTATAAAAGATCGAGTGCTTGTAATTGGAGAAGTCAAGAATCATATATCATGCCACCCAGGAGAAAATTATATAAATTTCGTAATTTATTTATATTACATTATATTATTCCAGGATGATAGGATTATATTCCAAGACAAACAATTAAAAATGCGAGAATGTAAAAAAGAATATTTGAAGATATCGAAAATTCGTTTTCGCGAAAAAGATTTGAATTACATATTGTATTTTGTAATTATAATTATCTTTATTTTGTACAATTTTATAACATTAATTAAAAGAGAAATGATTAGTACCAATCTTATTTTAACGCGCAATTATCATACCTTCAATATGTACAATGAAAATGAATTAAAATATAATTTTATTAAATACAAATTGTTTAATACCTCCAACTGAAGAAGGTAGGTTTCGAGGTACATTGAATCTTGAAACAGCATCGTTATTGTTTCGATAACATAATCGTTAAGAAAATAATACGAAGGTATTTCAGGTCTAACAGCCATACACATACACGTATAAACGTAAGTACATAAGTTATGGATACACGATCTACCAATTAGTAAAAAAATTGATTCCTAATTTGAAACTGATATAACAAACAGTCATAATAGGGCGCGCTGATTTAAATCGCACACCATTAAAATGATCCAAGGTATAAACGTCGAATCAATTTCTTTGTATCCACGTGATAACATTCTCGGATCACGTCTTCTCAAATATAATATAGGTGTTTTAATAAACTTGAGAAATTCAACAAATTCGATTATATTTGTACGCGTAATATTTAGAATATCTCGAATGTGCGCTCAGCGATTTCTCATGTGTGTGAACGCAATACATACCTTGCTTCGATTTGATAGAAGACAAGTAATGAGATTAATAGTAATTGTATTAATAACAATACTTTTTATGCGATAATAATAATAACTATAATAAGGTACGAGAGAATCACACGAGGCGTTGATCTTAGAGGACCACGTTTCTCTTAATTGGTCGAGGATACTACATTATTACTGGGTTACTAACTACATCTTCCATCGTACATGGGCCTTTGGAGGTATTGGTAAATCTATCATCTATGAAGAGAATAGACATATGCGAATATTTTATAAGTTTGTGTAACTCAGGTATCGACTTACACTTTGCAGTTTCTTGCCACGCTTTCTAAGCGTGCGAAGTATACAATCTGGAAATATCCAAGAACGTACAACGAGATCGAAGAAAACTTCTATACTTGTTCGTACCAGAGATTATATTTTAATTAAGATTAAAACGATTGTCAAACGTTATTCGCATATGCCTGAATCTAACAATGAAACTTTGAATAAACTCTGAATAATCTCTTCCCTATCCCAATTCCTTGTCTTGAACTCCTTATCATCTGTAAGCTACAAACGTAACGTTGAATCTTTGGAATGCAAAAGTCTCGGACAAATTTTTACTTGACCAACAACAAGAAGACACGAGGACGACCCGAACGATGGATAATAGTCGAAGCTCTTTGAAAAATACCATTAAATTGCAGCTGATTGCCACAACGATGGTCAGTATCGAAGTACGTACTTACAGTTTATTCTTTTAATTAGAGATAATTCGACAGTCGCGAAAAGTAAAACTATTTCGTACCTGCATCGTACGAAAATCACCTAACGGAACGAGCATCGGATTTTCTTTTTTAACTCGTAGAATGCAGGGAAAGTAGAGTTTGAAAGAAACATAGAAGTTTAAGAAATATTAGATCGTATTACTTGACTCTGCGAATTTTACGGAAAAATGTAATAGCACAGCTTGGTAAAATCATTAAAATTCTTTACGAAAGTACAGATATTATGTTCGGATATTATGTAGAATTCAATTCCCGTTTTAGCAAATCTGGAGATCGACTTGTTCCCGTTTCACATCGATCTTAGCTAACAATTCTGCGATACCTACGATCCGATAGCTCGCTCTGAATTATTAAGTCCATGCCATTAGAATTTTAACGCCAATAAAAGATACTTTAGATCTTCTTCTTCGAGAGTCTCGGTATTCTTCGACGATGAAATGGATTAGATCTTCTTCATTCCCGTAGCTGAAATATTCTTCTCTTTTTAATTTTATACAATCACGCGACAACGATCAATGATCTGTTGACCGCGTGAGGATTATGTATACGATGCGAAAAGGGAATATATAATAGAGGTCTAGTAATACTGTTGATTTCATCGTGGATTCGATAGCACGCTTGAAAGACTGGGTAGGAAGGGTAAGTACATATTTACAGACAACGTTCGGCGAGTTCGAGTTAGTATTTCCAACCGATACTTAATTCCTCGCGTGAATCGTCAGATATTAAACGCGGGAATCGAAATTTTAGAAACAACCCGTGGAACTCGTACGAATGTTGCGTTATAATTTTCGGGGGATTTGTGACATTTGGGAGCTGAGTGAAGATTACAAAATAATCGTAAAGATCTCATAAGACAGTGTCGAGAGTGTCGAGACTCCGCAAGAGTTGTTCATCCTTGGAACACCATTGTACCAATTCCTCGATTGTCACCACGCCGTCTTTGTTTGCGTCCATTAACTGAGGATAAAAAATTGCTCAGCTGTATTAAATCCCTAATTAGAAGAGAACTTCCGATCGATCAATCGTGGTTCGAATAAATCAGCAAATAATTTTACATGTAAGGGACAGAAGCGAGATCGATCGCGTTTACTCACGTGGAAAATACGATCGACGTGTTCTCGGGCAGCCAAATGCGGCTCAACTATTTGCGGCTGGGTGTAACGACCCAACATCTCGTAGATTGAACCAACCACATCCAACATTTCCTCTTTACTGATCAATCCATCGCCGTCCAGGTCGTAGAGTCCAAATATCCACTGAAGCTTTTCTTCCACCGATCCTCTCGAAACTTTCGACAAGATGGTCAGGAATTCCTGGATACGATGAAACGCAATTATGAAACTATGAACAGTTGCTTCGCAAGCAAAGCGTACGTATATCTGTAAAAGTCTCTCACTTCGAAGCTTATCTTCCCAGACGGTTTCCTCTTCATGGTGTTGAAGACGTAATGAGCGTACTGGCTGGCATCTGAAACATTCGACATTGATCGTTTTTCCGTTGAAACGAAAGCTCTTAAATTGTTCACGCTTCATAACGTTATTAACTAATACGGATAGATAAATTTTTATATCCCAAAGCGAAAGTAACGGATAAGATTGATGAGAAAGCTCAAAGCGGCAGCCAAATATTGTGCGTCAAGATCTTAACAATCTTTGAAGCGAGGATTACAAAAGTTACAGAATAAGTGAACAACAGATTGTATAATAATACGATATTCATCGGTCAGTATAATCAAATTTGTACATTTAAAAATTATACAGATAATAACGACATTACCTGTGAAACGAACTAATTCTACGAATGAACTAATTTTTATTTCCAATAATAATTGACAGAGAGGGAGATCTTTCGTTACACGGCTCGAGAAATATCCAATCACGAAGGGATCAACTTACCTCCCTGTGGGAAGAACTGTGAGAAGATCTGCTTGAACGCTTCCTCGTCGACGAGACCCGTAGGACATTCCTGCTTAAATCCGCGATAGATAAGCTGTATCTCCTTCTTGGAAAACCTGGTGTTGGCCGCCAATGTGGAAAGCTCCTCCGGCTTGTACCTGCCGCCAAGGGCAAGGGCACCGGCGGTGGAACCCCCTAAAACGCCCCCGAGTTCTTCAAGTTCGCCCTCTGTAAGTTTGCCAATAGGCGCTTCACTTCTAAGACTGTACCACGCGTTCGAGATACTCCCCTCTCACCTTTGATCAAAGTGCGTTCTTCCTCTACACCAGGCTAAGGGAGGAACGCCGTTTCTCCTCTCTCACTAGCAGGCAGGAGAGGAGATGGCGCGTTATCTACTTACGATACAGGGTGCAACGAGCTCAAGAACGTCAATTACTTTACGGGAGAAGATACGCCGGGTGCCCGAGAAGATAGCGCGACTGACTTCACCAGGCAACCTGCCTACACTCCCATCGAGAAATACGGGGGTTCTACGGGAGACAGTGCGCGCATTGCCAAGACGGAGAAAATACCTGGAGATGTACAGGTGCACAGACTTGCAGGCGGAGAACTCGTGAGCGAAAGATAATGGGAAGAATTAATTGCCCAGGTAAAACATTTCGGCCCGAATTTTTCCAATTGTTATCGGCTCTCGCCCCGTTTATTCAAACAAAGATTTCATCGAAACTACGTTTGCAAGTTGGCGTATTCCTTGCCATCTAGGTCTCGTCGAAGATGGTGTTTTACTTGGGGACAGTTGTAAATAGAGTTATTCGCACGATTCCATCTATTTCGTCGTTTTATAGACGATGGAAAGATGCGCGGGGTGAATAGAGAGATAGAAAAGAGATCGCTAAAAGTCAACAGGTTCCAGGTAATTCGAGACATCCGCGATACTTGAGATTCGAGTAGCTAAAGTGATTTAGATTTCTCAGGTCGATCGGCTGGCGCAGCATCGAGTAATCGCTTTCGTTGCAGGGGTAAAAGAATCAAGCCACGATTTAAGCGTACGCTGTTTCGTGGGCGACAATTTTCACGCGACACGGCTGTCTAGACGCGTTTCACATCGAAGCGACGTTAAAATCGATATTCATTAACGCGAAGCGCTATAAATATAATTACCGCCGTCGAAAATAAGATTCAAGATCAAACGAAAGCGTAACCCAACGCTACAATCTACAGAGAGGGAGATCGAGCTCTAAAGAATAGTTGCAATCTCTATACAAATGCACCTAATCAAAAAGAAGTACCTAACAATCGACATTCTACCAACATACTCTACGAGAGACTGTACATTGCTACCAGTAATAAATATACGCATTACTACTTGATTTACGGAAATGTCGTAACTAGGGTGATGATCTCGACGTTGGCACGCGTTCACCTATCGTTGGACACGAATTCCACAAGTTGCCTTTCAATCTCTGTATCGATCAGCAAGTTTGCAAACACGCCGCTCCGTTCTTTCGGAGCGTTGCAACGCGTTGGCAAACATCGAGCGATCTCGTTATTAAAACATTCACGTTCGAGAGTATCAGGACACTTTCATCTGTTTGTCGAAATAATATCTTTTTAAGCCAAACACAGTGCTCCGGTTTTATAAGTTTCGCTGTCCGACTTGGTACACTTCTAGTCAAATTTTGTCACGTTGTACCTTATATCGCTTGAAAACTTTCGGATAATTTTATAGTTGTAAGATGCAATGTGTATATAAATAAGTGACGAATTAATAAGCATCGCTTAATATTGGCTTTTTATAAAATTACTTATTGAATGACACGGCGATAATCTATTTTACTGTTTACTATATGTTGCTACGTAAAGAATCGTTCTATGCATTAGTTTGGACAAATTTTCTTAATGTAACTTATAATTCGGAAAGGATCTGCAGATAAAGAGTTTGTCGATAGTCGCAGAATTGAAAGGCACATAGTAAAATCAAGCAAATCCTTGTCCAACGCAAATTGGATATTTGTGAACGATAGATGAATTCACGCGTGTCCACCTATCATGCAATTACTGCAATTATCCTTTACACATGCTTCTGATCACTGATTGAAAACGACCAAGCGAACCGTTTTAAACGACGTTTCTTTTCCGAGATCACACGCGATCGCGGGAACATAAAGCTCCGTGGGGGGAAAAGTTTCAAATAAACCGTAATGGATCGTTAAAAGATATCGTTAAAGATTTGGAATTTTTATCTCGTGTTATCATGCTGTTCCCCGTGTCGTTTCTACGTGTCTCTAAAACTAATGTGTCGCTAAAAAAGAGAGAGAGAGAGAGAGAGAACGTTTGTTCTCGATTCGTGTGTTCAGCAGCTGAATACCATCGGGCTTGTTTGCGACTAAGGTAGAAGCTTCCCATTGATCGCTGCTAAAATTACGATCACGGAATTGTGTAAGGTACGAATGAATATTAATTCTGTCAAAGAGAGATGCTCGAATAACCGAAGAAGCTGTAAAGCTAGGCCGAAGAATCAATACAGAAAAGGAATGTTTGCGTTCTACGTCTTGCGTCTACGCTGCTAAAACAGGGTAATTAGTAAACGGGTTAAAAGAGGAAGGGAAATTCAGAGGGGGGAGAAAAACATCTCGGGCGCACCGTTGTCGGTCGAGACTTGTCTAAAACACGGCCGTGCGCTTTTGAACTTGGCTTTTACAGTGTACACATTATAGACGTATGCCTGTGCACTGTGTAATTCCACTAGCAGCTCTGGTCCCGGGCATCCGGGGTCACCATAGCAACGGGAGAGCTCCTACCCTGTATCCACCCCACTTTGCGATTCCGCTTTCGGAGCATTTGTCGATTAAAAACGCGCGAGATCTGGAGATCTGCGTGTGCGTGTACACAATTAAAAAGAGAGAAAGAGAGAAGGCGAGAAAGAGATAGTAGAAAAAGGGAGCAAGAGACGCGACGGTCTAGAGAGGCAATAGAGAGCGTGGTCGCATCGGTCGGTTCCCTAAGCGGACCAACTACGATAAGTAGTATATTCCAAGGTGCTATCTCTCAAAGAAGGAGTCGTCAACGGGGCAAAACAAGGAGAAGAATTGTTATTCTTTCTTTCTCTGTCTGAGCGAGTGTCGCACCTTGCCGTTGCATCTTTGGCAGCTGTTAGCACTGACACACCGCAACGAACGGTTTCGCGATAAAGGGGGAAGATTCGTTCGGGCCTGGGCTGTGTCAATCCCTTCGTCTCAAGGAGGATCTCTTTCCACGGCGTATCGACTGGCCTGCACCGATTATTGGAGAGGAAACTCGAGCGGCACTACAGTCGGCCTGTATGATTGATGGACTTACTTTTCTCGCGGCTCTTACGTGCCTTCATTGACCGCAAACACCGATTCGTTGCCGATTCACAAGCGAACGATCGCGCTCGGCGATCCGGCTTCGCGACTGTGATTTCCTCGTCGCCTCGTAAATGATCGATCTAACGATCTCTTCCTTTATTTCCTTCTAACTTGGTTACCGAACCTGAACCACCGGAAAGAGATTTTCTTCCTTCCTTTCTCCCTTCTCTCTTTTTCTTCTTTTTTTTTCTTCCTTTGCCTTCTATCCACGATGCATCTTCTTCGTTTCCGTGGTCGGCCGTTCGAATCCGATCGACGCGTGCACTTCTAATTCAACGATCGATGCTCCACGACCGACTAACGTAACTCACACGGCGGGACTCGGTAACGATGTGCGCGGCCCTCGCGATGATGCACTGAAACAGCTGCCACGCAAAAGCACGGGGTATACGCTCCTTCGCGCAAGTCCACGCTCTTTTTCCAACCATATTCACGTAAAGTCTGTACCTGAATGCCAGATCTAAGGATCTCCTGGTAAAAATCTTTTGGAAGATTTTATTTTTTATCGTATACGATAAAACACTGCGTTCGTTTACACCGTACATAAAAGCCGACAACAATCGAAGCGTCCATGGTAAAAATCATCAAGGATTTCTGTTAAATCTTATCTTCCTTCGAGAGGATGCAAACATATTTCAGAATCTTTAGTTTTTGTTCAGTGGGCTTCATTTTGTCTTAACGAAATGTTACGCAATTACTGTGCATGTTATCTGTAATTCTATAGCGAAGCAACCGTAATCAGTTGAATTATGTATTCGAGAACTGTATTCAATTAGGTTGTGGATGCCTCGATTAAGAGCGAAACATTTGTAAATTAAGTTAAAATACAATGAACAATGTATCCTCGACTGAACTTAATAATCTTTATAAAATAAAAGCAACAAACAATGGAATATTTGATAATATCAATATTTTCCTGCGTTATTATTATCAGACTAAATCGTGTCAGTATGTGAGGCGTTATTTGAAGAAAGCAATAATTGTGATACCCTAAAATAATTATCTTATTAACTTGGCGATGATTATTCTGATAAAGCACAACTTTGATAAAAGCCTAAGTATTATTATTTACAACACCGAAAAATTTGACGAGTCTCGTTTTTGCTACAAGCCTCTCAATTTTCGTATTCTTAATACAGTTTAATATTATTCAGTTGATGGGTATCGTTTTAATAAACGATTATATTCGGCTCGTTATTGTTACTTATTTTACCGCAATCATTACTATATCCAGCTTTCTCCTTCATTGAATCGTTATAACTACATATTCGCAAGTGAATTGATTTTACTTGCAAACTAGAATAATACGTACAATTCTGTGCATCCTTTTCCCAGTTATTTCCATACGTTCCAATTTGAGACGAAACTCATTAATTAATGTTGTTCTAGCGAACTTAAGTATTTCGTTAATTTGTTAAATAAACAACTTGTCTCAATGAAAAGCGTTAAAATATCAAGTTACCTTAACGTATCTTATGAGAGCACTTCAAGCAGCGACCATTTCACTCGGAACAAGAGATGAGCGAAAGCACTCCACTTTATCGATAATTAATGAGATAAAGGGAAGCAAAAGAACGCGTACCTAGTAGCACTTCTTCATCCCACTATAGTATATAGCATATATAAAAATTCTAAAAGAGATTTGTAACTATAAAAGTATAATTTTTTACGATTTATACACGATACAAAATGTACTTAATTTGAATTGTCCTTTACAGAGATGGAAACTGAATTTGTATATCTGCGTTCAGTAGAAAACTTGTCCATAATCAGACGCGCCTGATGCACTCAGTTTTTACCTTCACAAAAAACAGTATACCAGACGCGTCTGACTATGAACAACCTTTCTACTGAACGCAGCTGTATGCGTTGAGTATGCTACTTGCTTACTTCTCTACCCTATCATAAGAATGTACTCTTGCCATGGTTAGACTGCAAATTTTTATGTACTTATGGAAAATTTAAAGATTTAAAAATGCACATAAGATGTCAAGACATATAAAATATCCAAAGCACAATACTCATTATAATATTTATTAAATAAAAGAAATTTCTGCTTGAATTACCCCTTTTTAGCTCTGTTCGTAAAAATATAAATTTAAAATAAATATCCACAGTCTATTCATGACAAATATAACAAGATCATATGTTATTACGAGTAAACGAGAAAATATTTAACGCATCATGAGCTTTAGTACTATAAATATGCTATGGAATAGGGGAAGATCCAGTTCCGATTGAAACTGAGTCAAAAACATCATTGCAGAAGCAATCCAATTACTTGGTATATGTCGATCGTCGATAAACATGGTAGAAAACTATATCGAACATTGTCAGTCAACACGCAAGTTAAAGTATGCTATAGATTCGTGAGAATTTAGGGAATTATCTCACTAATGGAATTATTCACGCGAATAACGAAAACGACGACGTTATCGATCGATAAAACAAAATTGCAAATTCGTGATTTACAGATGGCAGGATAATAGCACTTGCTATCGATAAAGGAACCGTTTTACTGATAAAGGAGTCAAGGAGTATGTAAGTAATTGTGTATGCACAGCTAAATAAAGGAAACATAATATACACAGTCACTAGTTTTATTTCTTTCCTCTTAATAATCTTTCTATGCTAAAATACAAGTTTGAGATAGATTCTGAAAAACTAATTTAATACTAAATAGAAATATATTAAAATATAAATCATTTTCTACAGTTTCACGATTAAGACAAAAATGGTTGTTTTCAAAGTTTAATAACGAAGGACAATTTTTATACAGAACTGATTTTCGGTTAAATCAATTTTTTAAATTAAATAGATTTCAGGGTAATTCGGTTAGCAGACGAATTTTTCTATCGGCCATATCAGAAATGTGTGAGTACTAAGGGAAGGATTTCGGCCGGATGGCTTGATATTTAAAAATGAACGGAAACGACATTTCAAGTTTATCGTACAAAGAATTACAAGCCTTAGCTCTCCGATATCGGGTACCAGGTAACATAAAGGTAACTGATCTACCATTAGAAACTTTAACGAAAATGTTAATAAAGTTATTCCCACTTCTTCGTTCTTTTTCCTAAAACGACAAGTAAATTGATTTTTGAACGATCGATTACGATTTTTGACCGTAGAAGAAATTACTGATTAAAGTGTTACAAGCCGCGAAAGGCGGAAATGAAAATGAAGTTGGCAGGCTCTTACAAGATCTTAAGCAGAATCGTAAGAGGAAAATGAGAAAAGTCAAAGTCGGGAAACTCGGGTTAACCTCCACACCATTACATAGTCCTGATTACGGTATGGCCGATGATTACTATTGTCCGCAACAGCAACCACCTTATCAGTGGGTGAGTTGATCTTCATTTAGTTTTATCGCTGTAATGTGTATGCGAACTTGACAAATTCAAATATTATATCGCAGAATCACACGTTCGTATCAAACATTGATCAATAACGCTTGAGACAGAAAATTATATCGAACATGAATAATTCTATAGATCGATCATTAATCAATCTTATTGGAAATTTTATATTTACAGTATTTTTGCAATGTTAATATTCTCGTAAATTTTTAAAGAAGCTCTTAATAAAGAAAGATGCAGAATATTTGAAAGTTTTTAAAATAAAATATATATTATGTTATTAGGTGGGGGCAGAAGAAGAGATCACAAATAGAGATGATAACAACAGAATCCCTCATTATGAAGAGTTCAAACAGTTCTTAATAAAAAGAATACAAAGAGAATTTCAAACATATGATACAAATAATAATCAAATACAGGATTCAACTATAGTAGATCTAAGAACAGCAACAGTTTCAACTGATGTGCAAAAGGTTCCTTTAGATGTTAGTAACTATAGTAAATCTAATGTAGTTCCTGTTAACAATGTAAATTCAATATATCAACCAAATGATAATGTAGAATATCAAACATTAGAAGACACAAATAGTAATGTACAAGGATCTATACTTCTTAAAAAAATGTTACAAGCACCAGTTGGTGCAAATTTGGGAGAAATAGCTAGTCCTGTACTTGGCAGATTTTTGTCAGTAGAACAGTACCAGTCTAATAACTTATTAGATAATTCTGATACTTTAACTGCTGAATCAGATAATCAGGATAATGAAGAAATTTTGGAAAACAATACAGAATGTTATGGTCTTCTAAGTGGTATAAAGGGAGAATATTTTTTAAATGAACCAACTTTTGTAAAAAGTGTTGAAGAAATTGGTCAACAAATTTCAAATGTCTTAACAAATGAAAATATTAATCAATATAAATACCCCAGTACAAATATTGTCATGCATCAAGATTATGAAAACTGGACTATTACTAGTGATATGGATACAGTAGATAACAACTGTCCAACATCAGATGTCCAATCATCAAAAATATTTCAGACTATGTATTGTGATAATATAGGATCTGATGCCTTAAACAAGCCTATAAATGATGAAAGCTTAACGTGTCAATATCGAATGACAGAAACTGTACATCCATACAATTCCAATCAAAATTTATTGAATTTGAATACATTGGAAGAAAATCAGTATTGTGACACAAACATCATTCCTCATGTGCAATCTGACTGCAATAATACATATTATTTACAAAATTTGATTAAATGCAGTACAGAAACTACTGGAGAATATTTGCAGTATACACATTCCTTTTCAAATGCAAATATAGATCAAGAAGCTTACGCATCTACTACATCACAGACATTTTCTAACAATAATCACTATAACTCTAATCTACCATATGAATACTCTTGTTCGCGCAATAATGAAGGAACTATCCCATTATATGAAAATATAGGACAACCTGAACAAAATTGTAACTCTATAATACAAACAGAATCTGATGTTCATAGGGATGTATCTAATATGACAGAAAAGTTACAAACAAATGGTATGTACTATTGCTTTTAAATTATATATTTAAAAATGTAAAGAAAAATAATACATTTTTATATTTTTACTATTTTTAGAAATATTAGATCCATTTTATCCGAAAAGAATCACTAAGATGTCTTCACATTCTATTTTAGAAAATATTTTGAATATCATTAGTACCAAGCGTATAGATTTATCGAAATTAGATCAGACATCTTGTGTATATTGTTACATAGCCCCTATTGTTACACATACGCAAGTTTCATCAAGTGTAACTTGCTCCCAAAAAGAGAGATTTGTTGCAGAATACAGACAACATTCCTTTTCTCCATGTTGGCTACTCTACAATGATACTTCGTCCGGAATGCGAATGGCTAGTTTACAAACTAAAGTTAGGGAAACTACGGACGAATCCCGGATATTATATACATCAATGTCAAATAGCAATTCTGATTTAAGAGAGTCAGCTGCGGATGGTGCGAAAAGTGAAATTGCGGGAAGTGAAGATTCAATTTCAGAAGTGTGGCCGAACAATTATTCGAATTATGAAACGACAACCGAAAAAGATGTAAATATATGCGAAGATTTAAAGATTGAAGTCTCAGATTGTTTATTTTCAGTGATGAATACTGAGCCATTAGATAAATAGATGATCTTTCTAAAAATTAAACTCAATAAAAAAAATGTACACTCTTAGTAGTACATAAAATTGTATGTATCATCGAAAAAGAAAAAAGATAAAAAAATAATGATATTAAGTAATTTAGAGAAAAGTAATTATACATTATTTATATATTTAAATCAAACATGATTAGTAGGAGATTGCCTTGTTTAATCTAATTCAAAAAGAGTAATTCATTATGTTATAACGATCATGTAAAACTATTTTTTCACTTTAACGAAAGTGCGATGTTAATTATAAAAAAATATACTACTGTTAAAAGCTCGAAAAAAAGTAGGATTCTGATTTTCTTAAGTTAGTGTTTGTAAAAATACAAATTTGGCAAAAAAAAAAAAATAGAATTAATAGATATACCTAATATACATAAGAAAACATACAATTTTTTTTATAAAACGAGGACAAAGAAACGAATGCGGAAGATGTTAATCGTTAAAGAAGCTTCAGAAGATTATTTGAAAATTAAGCAGGAGTGAAATAAAAAATTTTTCTTTCGTTTATTTTCTTTATCCTCGATTAATATGTATATCATTATATATTTTAATAAAAAATAAACAGCAAGCATCACAAATATAAACGTCTAATAAAATATTTGCTTAAAGCCTTACATCCACAGTAGCATATAACAAGGAAAAGAAAATAATTTATTATAAATTTTCTAAATTTTATAATATCGCGTTTATTAAATAGCAACAAATTGTGTTTGATGCGTGATCATTACTATGAGTTATTCTATTTAACAAAGTTGTTATAATCAATGAATTTCCACTTACTTGAAATTCCTTCCGTTTGCATTTGTGTTTTCAAATAATTAAAAACCTTAACTGGGATCGATTCTTTTCTTCGATTTTTAAATACTCCCACTTCAGTATCCACATTTTTCGAAGATCCTTGTTTATCGGAAGATCTACCCGGTGTCATATGAACACTATACATATTTTTTCCTAAATTCCACGTTATCAATTTAATTCCAATAAACAATTTAATGTCATTTAATTTGCTTTTTAAATAATTGCGAAAAACAGTTATTTTGCACTTTCTCGGTAAAGTAACATTATATTTTCTTTCGTCGTTTTTATGATTTAAGCGATTAATATTCTATTAAAAATTTATCTGGAAGTGTAAAGGAAAATGTATATGATTCGAATAAGTTCAAAATAAGGAATAAAGATAATATGTACTCGCTGGACCAAGATCTCTGGCACTACTGCTTTTAAAAAGATGCATTACAGCTATGTAGGTAAGTGCTGCGGCGCATTCGCTCTGTATGTGTCTAATGAGGTCCTCAAAAAGCAAGACTAATTACTTCACCGCATCTTTCATTTTTTGCATATATGTATACAAGAAAAGTTTAATAATACTCTTAAACATCAATTTTATGAAGCAATATAAAAATATTTTCCCCCATTCGAGAAAAATGATCACTTTAAACTTTAATCGAAAAATTAAAATATCATTTCTATCATGCCCTATTATAATATATTCGATTTAGGTTTAATAAATCATTTAATATCACATAATAAATTTTCTAGCTATATTCAACAAATTATGTGTATATATACATATTGTAAATTTACACACACATGCGCGCATGCACACAATATAATTCTTTCTTTTTTTTAATTAAATTGAAATTAATACATATACGTGATGCTTCATGGGTTGGATGTCGCTTGGTACAGAAACGACATCTAGATAATAAAGAGGTTGAAGATAAATTTTCTCGCAATAACATGTTTCTAACCTAGTTCGATTATAATGTTATGTAGATAAAAATGTTTTAAAAAAACATAAATTTTGTTAATGCCATAAACATAAAGGTATACATTATTAGTTACAGTAAAATGTAAGACAATTATAAATACTATAATAAGTTCTAAAGTTTAAGTATATGTTTTATAACATATTACAATCATATGTTTCTTTTAGAAGAAATTACATTATAATAGAAAATTAATTTAACATAATGATACGACCCTCAGTGGCACTTAGCATCAATACACTGACAGTAAGAAATTTAAATGCTTACGATCATATAATATCCAATGGACCCCATATTCAATGTGTAAGGTGGAAGAGAAAACCAATTTGGTTACCAACAGCAAAATCAAAGTTGTTTAGAATACCAAATAGACCAGTTATACCTATAGAGGAATATAATGAACTGAAACGTTTGCATAATAATTACAAAACATTAATGAAATCTATAATGTATGTAAAATTTCCTTATTTTATATATTATAGTTGATGGGTCATTATAAATAATATGTAATATGTAGTATTATTTATGATAATATAACAACTACAATATATAAAATAAGGAAATATACTTTTGTCTTAGGTCTTTCTTTGTTGAGAAACATAAGGAAGTACAAGTATCTTTGGATACGAGTGTTGTACAAAAAAATATGCAGAAAGATTTTGAAATATGTTGTTCTATAAATGATAAATGGAATAAAGAAGTGGCTATGATACGAGAGGAAAGATTAGCTCGAGAAGGGAAAGCTCGCCAAGAAGAAATTGCCAGAAGACTACAAGCAAAGTATGAAAGAGATTTGAAATTACAAATGAAAATAGATGAAGAAATCAAAAAAGCGAAAGAAGAAGCTCAAACATTTATTACATCTAAAAATATTGATGAAGCTATCCTCAGTGCACTAGAAAATATTATAGACCATAATATTGCAATTGATCGCAATGGTAACTTTTATAAAGACAAACCTAAAGAAAATGAATCATCTACTGTATCGAGTTCATTAAGTTAAAATAAGTGTTATATTGTCAACTACATGTATTGCAATAAATAATTTCCGTTAATAAACAGAAGTGTTTGGTAGCTACATTTGTATATTTACTTTTCTCCTATATTCAATTCAGTACATTTTTGTCTAATTCACAGAATATGTTTATTGAAAATGATCATGTATAATGTAATGTATTTATAATATACAATAACAAAAAGCTTGTAAACACATCCATTCAAGGTCTGTAAGCATATGTGCTTTACAATATGGTATACAGGCATTGCATTAACTATCGCTTATTTCCTGTTTATCCATACTGTTGCAACTTATACTTAGCACATATGTGCACAAATTTTTTTAACAATCTAATAATGTATTATCGTCATACAGTTTTACATAAAAATGTTTTATGGCTAAAAATCATTATACAATTCTTCACATGATGCTTAGATTTTTAATATTCACTGAAATATCGTAACTCCAACATCAGGAAATTCTATACCTGAATGAGACTGTGTTTTAACATACGGTTTAAAATGTTTATATGCGTTTCTACTTGCATTATGTATTGCGACGTACTTGTTAAGAATAATTACTTTTACATTTCGTATATATATATTCGTAACATATCATGATGTAATCGTGTCGTCGAAATATCTTTGGTTTAAATATACACAATTTGTTTGAAAAACAAACAATGACAGTTTAATCGCCGCTTTGCAACCAAATTCCAAGAATTATCGAAAATATAAGAATAATATGTATATTATGAAAACGATTCGCGTCTAAATTCAACTGTAAAACCTAGTAAAAAAAGTGTATAAATCTATTATTTTACAATTTTTTAAAATCATGAGTAGCAATTATAAACGTATAATTCTATATTTATTGTACGTGCTTATGTATATGCTTCTAAAGTTTAAGAGAACAAGTCTTTGACTTTCAAAATCTGTAATTAATAATGAAGCCTTCTATTAAAATGGAAGTAAAATCAATATTAATAAATAACCACAGGAAATGATCAATAACAATCAAACAAACGTAACAAATCTCCTCACTTGACTGAAACGTTATTTATAAGACATTGAATGGCAAAGGTAGATATAAAGAAAACGATATAAGTATAGGCTTCGACATTGATTGCAATATGAAGCAAATTGTTAAGATTCTTAAATAGCAAGATATACTGTATATACTACCCTGATAAAAGTGAAAGAAAAAGCAATAATAATTATAGTATCTGTTATTAAATTACCATTATCATTTTTCAATCGCAAACATAAATTACATAGGCATTTTATTTACTTTTACAACTATTAATTATGGTATCTTTGACGTGAGACTGGGCTATTGCACTTTGATACCATTTTCAATATATGTAAGAAACTATTGTTCAGAGGCATTGTTAAAACATCATATGAACACGTTTGTAGAATATTTCCCATAATAAAGTTTGTAAGTTTTAGATTGTATCCTGTACATCAATTTTTTTCTTATCTCATATTCTATTTCAGAATACTATAATTAGTTTCAAACGCATCAATTTTTACAATCCACTTTTTACGTTCTTATATAGATTTAATTTAGCTTAATTTAGATGTACAAATTTTTATTCTGGGTCTTGTAAAATCTATGGTTATAGGACGTACTGAAGCACCACAATTTAAAGATGTGTTGCATTCGTATTTTACGAGTTTGGTAAAAATATAGGATTTATAAAAACTTTTAATCCTGTTTGTTATTCTGTGTATGGTAATATATGAAAATGATGGCACATGTGTTTCTAAAGCGAACTTGGCGTTAAGTATGTTTAAACATGATTTTTCCGTTTTATTTGAGCTTCATACCTTTGATTTAGAGAAAAAAGAAGGATATAATTTATGTTTCGTGCATTTTATCGCTAAAATATAGCCTTTGTAAAAATTTAGTTAATAATATTATTCTTCACTTCGATCGTCATTAACAAATGCACATCCTTTTGTTACTCCTACTATACAACATTTTCATTTTTTAATCTCCTTTTTTTTATTTCTTTAAGATGTGTTTTTTAATGATGTTAAAGACTATCTCTTTTCAACCTTGTTTTCATTATAAAAGGTAACATGTAACTTCACATAATAAGAATAAAACATCTCACAATAACTCAATACTTGCTTAATCAAGAATAACCCATTCTTTACTTGCAACATGATGCACATACATGTGTCTATATGTACAAAATTCTACTCGTTTTTTTATCAATGAGAATGATCTTGATTAAGTATGACATAGAAAATATGAGGATAATGTGAACACAAACAGCTAAATAATCTCTACTCAATTACAAAAAAGAAGCAAAAATTCAGAATAGTATAATGTGCACCAATTGATAAAAATAAACAGTAAACTTTTCTCATTACCTAAAATAAGTGAAAAGAAGATAAAATGTCGATATGCGTACATATGCGCTTACATGTATGTCTATATATATACATATTACATATGGACATATGTATATATATATATTATATATGTACATATGTATATATATACATACATACATACATATAATATGTATATATATACACGGATAGGTATAAAATTTGGTCAACGTTTTCTCTGTACGATAATATTATCAAATATAGCATATATATAAGAATATTTTGTACGAATATAGAATAATAAAATGGTTGATAAACAGTAAGTATAATTATTCAACAAGTACTAATAGTGGTATGATAATAGTAGTAACATTGGTGGTTGATTAGAAGAATTATATCGTACCACATTTTAAATATTTTCATCTTGTCTCACCACCAACAACTATACTAATAATTATAATAATACTAACTATCAGATTAATTCATGTCCTTACAGTAAAAATAATAATAAAAAAGGGCAGACACGAAACATCATTACAAATCAAACACTGCAGGTATATACGTAGTGATACTTTTTGGCTGTAAAGTATAAAATAGATAACAATATAGAAGGTTGCTCTAACAACATAGTATCAAACTACTGTCAGTACAACCGATACTGATATAATAAAAATATGCTTTTCTAATGCAATTTTTTCAATATTTAATTGCTCCCATTAACATTTCACTATGCAAACTCCTTTCATTAAATTTCTTTCTGATTACATCCTACAGCTTCTTTGACACTAGATTGACATAGATTTATATAATGGCTTATATAATATTTATCGCAGTATTTCTATATACTAAAGCTGTTATCCGACAGTACTTTGAAACATATTGCATTCTTAGAAAACCTTCCTACTGTTCATATACATGTATGTATGTAATCCATTTTTTTTACTGTTGTTATATTTGACGTTAACAGTGAATTTAAAATTTACCGTCATTCTTTAATTAAGATGTACTTAATATGCTTATGCTATCTTACAAAGCTAATCTCAAAAAACGAGATTATGACTATTAATGTTTCCAAAAGTATCACGTTTTACCCACGCATTTTGCTGAGCTCACCAGGCCATGCCGTAGAAAATGTATTTATCCCCTTAAATCAGATAACGACTACCTATTAAAATAGAAGTCTTTCGTTCTACCCACACTTCATGTAGATGCACTCCTTTTTTCTCAAAAAATAATTTTTCACAATGAAAAATAATATCTCCTTTGCAAAACGTTTGTACGTTGACGGTAATGCAAGGCCGTGGCACACATTTTATTCTACGCGGTAAATCATGTGTGTAAAATATATAAAAAATGTCAATAAAAACCTCGAGTAATGTTTTCATTTGGATTTACAATTCACACTATTTCATTTGAACCAATATTATATCTTGTTGACTTTTTTCAAAACCTTTAACGACAATATTGTATGTGTATGCATTTTATATATATTTTGCACACCTGATGCAGAGTTTGTAGTAATGTGATGTCTTTTTTGAAATAAATGTATTATCCAAAATTAAATAAAATTATTCAATTCCCCGTGGACCATCTATTGGCATAGTATGCAAGACTTCATCCAGCAATTGAAGGGCTCGATGTAAGTGCACCTATATCAGATACACAACTTTATTCCTTTTTAATTCTTAGAATAATTTACGATTAATGTGGATCAACCAAATTTAAAATTTGTGTATACCTCTATCCAGCATGGAGTTTCTTTTATACTTTGTCGTGGATAATCAGGACCCCAACCCTTTACGAAACTTAAACGCAAAATGCAAAGTCGTCGAAGATCATCTACACCTATTCCTGCTGCTGCACTAAGACCTGTATTATGTTATAGAGTTTATTATATTAACTAAAAGAATTAAATATATGAATATATAAAACATCATTAATATTATTTTAGTATACTAACTTTTCGTAATTGGTGCACCGTGCGTTAAGTGTCCCGCTACAGCTGCCGCTTGTGCCGCAGCTGCGGCTTGTGCAGTAGCGGCCTGTCCTCTCATTTGCTTATGACATTGCCGTAAATCAAAGACTTTAATATATGCAGCGGGATAAATTTTATGCACAGCGTCACCGGGTGCACGACCTGCTTCCCTGTCTAAATAATAAGACTGTACAAAAACACTGTGTTCACTTTGGCATCTTAACCAAACGTCTCCTTCGCCCCTTAAATCTAACACAACTCCTTTTCCTGAAAAGTTTATGACAATGCAGTTATTATTATGAAGACTAAAAATTAAGGAAGTAGTAATTTATTATACCTATATGAAGACGAGCTTTTTCGCTTTGTTCTGTTCTGTGTACATTACTCAAAGCTCCTAAGCAAAATCTATTACCGCCGCTTGGATCGACATAACCATCGATTGTTACGGTAGGGCAACCGCTGCTTACTTTAAACGTTTCGCCTACTTGAGTATCTAATTCAAAGTAACCAACTGAACACCAATATTCTGGTGCTGGCTGTGTAGATAATAAACCACCAATGTTTCCACCTACTTCACCTCCATGGCCACCCCCTAATAAAAATGTCAGTTATGATATTGTTAGAATACTGTAACATAATGTTTATCATTAACTCACAATAGGAGGTAGGATGAAGATGTCTATGATCTGGAGGCTGCATACTTTGAGTATATGTAAGAGTATTAGGTCCAGTCCACTGTGGTGCTCCTGAATTATAAGCAGCTGTACCTACTGGAAATCCACTTGGATGATGAAGGTGTACAGGTGATACAGGAGAATTTTGACCTTCACCTGTTAAAAAAGCAAATTATATTTAACAAACATTAAAGGATGACTGATTGAGATTGCATACCTAAGGATGCTGCTAATGCATCAACAGTAGGTGGTTGATTAAGATCTTGAGGAGGTGTATTTGTTCCATAAAATGTTTCAGTGGATTGTCCTTGTGAAGGGCTCAGTATCTGTGCCCCACTGCCTCCACTAGATGTACTCAATGACTGCTGTTGGCTACCTACGGTGTGACTCATTGGATGTACTACTGCTGCAAAATTAAATGTAACTCGTACACAATACAGGCAACATAACATAAAATATCAATTAATTCAAACTTTGGCCAGAATTTCTGAAATTAATTACTATGTAAGATTACTACGAATTTTTATAAAATTAGCACAAAGCAACAAAAATTAACTGGCAAGTAGACAGAAAATATTGTAGAATATAAGAAAGCATTCTATTATATACGTACGATGATGTATGTTACGTGTTGTAGGATGATGAGGTGTAGGAATCCAGGTTTGTCTGGGGCAATTATTGTCATCCAATTTATTGTGTGGATTACCACCATTATTCCCTCCCCCATTACTGCCAAACATACCCTCACCACTAGCTGTGCCAAACAATAAAAGGAAAAAGAAAGAATAAAGCTAAAATGAAATCAAACTAGCAACGCAAAGTAATTCTAAATAAAGCAATATTAATAAAAGACTTGCAGGGAAATAAAATAAAACCTCCTAACAATATAATACTGCAATAATAAAGCTCCTTATTCATATATTTTAGTGCATTTATATCAATTGCCTTATACAGGTTTTGATCATGCTTTTTTTAAATAAATCAACACACTCAATATTTGAAAACACATTTATAGACTAAATTATAAAAATATTTTAATATACTTAAAAATCTGATTATTTCACTAATATAACGGTACATGAATCAAAGGACAACGCGAATCGAGGACGACTTTTGTTGTTTTACTGTGGGACACTGATGAAGCCTTGAAACATAACGACAAATAAACACCGGGCAAAACAATACCGCCATTACATATAATCGTCGAAGAAAGACGAGTTTGAATTTTCCCACTCTCCTCCAACCAAAATAAATAAACAGACGTGATCGCGTGCGAGTCAGTATCGACAAAGTTATCAAGAGTTATCTACCGAATTATCAACGCATATCTAGTAAGCATCTATCAAATATTAATTAACAATCTTATTTCGTAATTTATAAACTGTACCAGCGACTTAGCGAATATAGCCTGTTAACTTATTCATCATTTTAAATATATTTGACGGTTTCAACAACACGCAATAAGTTTTAATAAATCTCTCGACGAAACATCCGTTATACAAATCCTCTCCACACTAATAAATACTACAAACACATACATTTTTAGTACATAATTATTAAAAGATAACATTTTTATATGGAACAATTATATTTCTCAAAAAATAAACAAAGTATTTTTACTTACTTGGATTAGGCGGTGCTAGACCTGGTATAAAAGTCTGTTGAGATGGCTGAGTGCTATTAGACGAAGTGGGTTGAGCAGGTGGATGATGTTGAATAGTTTGGTTCATTTCTCCATCAACATCCATTGCGGATCCTACTGCTCCAGCTGCTGCACTTCCTCCACCACCAACTGAATATTCATCTTTGACTAATCTACCACCTGGTCCTACCCCTACTCCTGATTGCAGAGTTAGTCCAGATAGGTCTGTAAAGAACGGGTCTGTGCGGGGAAACCAACCCATTCCATCATACACCAAGGCCACAACAATAAATCATTTACACTTATGGTGCTACAAATGAATTCATAGAAGCTTTGCAAAGAAACAACGCAATGAAAAGAATATTGATCGAAGCATGTGATCTGTCTATGAAAACAAGTAAAAAATATATTTCATGACATACCTATGCCAGGAGATACAACTCTCTCATAGTGATATGGATTTACACATACAGAATCACATTTTAAGTCAAAAGCAAATTGGCAGTACTTGACGTGTTTCAATTCATTCTTGTGTAAATCCGGCCATCTCCAGATTCGAGCATAAATAACATGTGGGAAACCCTTACGACCAGCAACTTGTAGCCTACCATCTAGAGTTCTTTGTATCGTAACACATTTACTGGGATGAGCTCCATTTGTAGTAATAGCAGTTATTAAGCTATCTAATTCATCTCGTTTCTCCTAAGAATAGGAATTATATCATAAATACTAACCAAATTCTTTGGGATGTATGATAAATTTAGGAGTTAGGGAGTAACACATACCTTAAGCTTTTTAACCAATGACTCAATAGCTCTCTTACTAAATCCTTCACTTTCACCTCCTTGACGATGACACATGAGAGAATGTACAATACTTAAACAAGCATCCGCACTTGTCGGTGCACTAGGAGCAATTCCAGTCATTTCTCTCACTATATAAAAACATTTATATTAAATAATAAAGATGAATATTCGCTATATCGAAGAAATATGAAAATCTAAGGTATTTATATTGTTAGAACTTACATTCTGGATTAGGTTGCATTGGGGGCGAGGGATACAGATGACCTCCCCCGCCCGCCAATCCGACCATGTCTGTGAAAGCCGTGGCGAATACCGTTCCAATTCTTCGATTGAGACACTACTCTTAATCTTAGTTTCGACGTGTTCAAATTTTTATGACTGACCATCTAGCAATGATCTACTAGCCATGTGTCATAGATGTGGGTTCGCTGAAAGTGGGAAATAGATAAACAAGTTGAAAGCGATCAGTTACAAAATATTAAGAGCCAGAAAACAAACCTTATCGGTTGGCGAATTAATAGAAGTAAGGAATACACGAAATAACTAAAAATAATTAATGAAATCGCTTTACGATGACGTACCGTGTACTGACAGTTACTTCGAGTAGGACGCTGCTAGTTTTTTTCGGAGGTTAGATTGAATTGTTGCGACATCAGTAGAACCTGGCAGAACCGCACTTATCTCTAGTATCTAAATCCACAATTGGTGAAGCGACTAAAGCGCCAGACTAATGCACAAGTTTTCAATGTTCGCATCCAGTCTCATAGATCTCTCTTTTTCTGTGTAAGACATACTAAATATTCCTATATATACTATCGTTTTAAGTTTGATCTATGATTTCTACTCACTACCTCAAACAATACACGACGTACGGCGTACAATAATCGTAAGGTTGTGTATAACAGTATATGGTTCATACGGATCGAAAATTAAGGGGTGTATGAGATCGAATTTATTTCCATTCTTCCTCTGTTATGACTTTAGCTGAACTGTAAACTGATTTCATTAGTAAATTATAAATAAAGGTTTCAATAAGTGATACAAATATTAATAAAATATTTATTTATTGATGCTTAGTTAAATAAATATATACATACATAAATGTAACGTTTATTTAACTTTATCTTGATTACATAATCAAAACTAATAAACAATGCGTTTTATTTGCTATATTTTTAATACAGAATGAGTATAAAAGTGAATAACTTTTTATTAAATAGTATTCCACATTTCAAATCTTTATAATAAGAGGGTAAAATATCAAGAATTACAGAAACATAGAATGTACAACTTACTTTGTGATAAATATTAGAAGCAATAGAATTTTTCTCATTTAAATAATAACATCATAACATTTAGCTTATATAAAATGTTTAGTGCATAACCGGGGGTGTAACTCAGTGGTAGAGTGTCTGCTTCGCATGCTGAAAGTCCTGGGTTCAAATCCCAGCTCCTCCAAGTGAGTTATTTTTTTTTTTTTCGTTTTCAATAACGAAATTTTATCATTTGTTGAATACATTTTTATGTAGTATTTTAGAATTTTTAAATATATATTTACATAAAATTATTACAAATGTAAAATAGAAACTGCGTTGTTGTTGTTATTATTATTATTATTATTATTATACTTGTATACACAAATAACTGCTTTATATACATTTAGACGTCGCCTGCGAAATTTTACTTTGAATAAGTCGTTCAATGCATGATTCGAAAGATAGATGTGAGTCCGGACCCATTGATAAGCACTTGAGCAGCAGGAGATATGGTAATTTCTAACCCAACCTAGTCACTCCTGCGGCACTAGTACTTATGAACAAGACAGGATTAACTTCCGATGTATCGTAGTCCTTCCATTGTTACGATAGTTATACGATCCTCTTGATGAAGCAATGATGGTCCCTATAAATTATCATATAAAATTAATCATTTAATTTATTTAATTTCAAATTGTTTTAAAGGAAACCTTAATTTAAATGTATAATTAGGCGATTAAAAGAAAATTGAATTCATCGATTAACAGACAATTAAGCAGGCCGAGGCAGGTCTTAATATAACGTGCCCACGTTTCCTTATAATTTAACGCAAGATTAGATAATCGGCAGAAGAATACGGCTCATAGATATTGCATGACACATTCACTACGTGCACATTGCAATCATTTTACGAAACGGATAGAAATCTTAAGTCAATTGAATTAGCCTATTTATGAAATACATCTTACAAACAAATACATCCTTGTTTGCAACATTTTCTATATCTACTTATTCAATCTAGTTATTAAGTTTTTTCCTGCTTCAGATATAAATATCTATTTTATTATTATATCTACTTAATATTACATTTATTCCAAGAAATTTAATTTAAAAAAGGGGAAGAAAAAATCTCAAAGTATATAATGTATAGTTACACGAATGAAACCGATAGTGATAAAATCATTACAAAGCAGTACGGATAGTAATAAGATATACGTTATAATTATTAGTCCGGACGTGGTACCGTACACTATATATCGTATATACTATAATGATGCGATGACACACAGTGGTACTCATTGAAGCGACCTCGAGTAGTCATTAAAGTCGCCCACTATCTCAGTCTCTTTGTTCTTTCTTCTTCTGTTCGTCTCCGAAAAAATTTCGAGTTTCCTCGTCGTAACGTCGATTCTGCATTAAGATCTGTTGTTTCTATCTCGAAAATTTTTATGCTTCCCATATACAATTTATTCTACTCTATCTTTATTTTATTACCAAAAACGCTTCTAAGAATATCCTAGAACTGCACAAGCGCTCTATTGACAGTTTCAATTATGACGTGTTCTTGTTACGATTGAAACACCATAGAGTAAATTAGATTTTACTAATCTTTTCATATAAATTATACTGCAAAATAGAAAGATAGACGGATCACTCACTGGACATTGGACATTCTTATGTAAAATATATTTTTTTTCAAAATGTATAAGATATAACTTATGCTACAAAAAAAAAAAAAAAAAAAATAGATCGGTTACCGTGAATCTATTTTGCAAAATAGAAAGGTAGATTATTGTAGACCTTGGAAATTGCAAAAAAAAAAAGTACGCACGGTATAATAAAATTGCGTTTCTATGTAAAAAATCGAGAATGAGATCGGGAACAAAACGAAGCAAAGAACTTGAGGATTGGAAGTAATATCGCGCACGGAAATGTGTGTACGCACGATAGAGAGAGGGAGTCTACAATCGAATCTTTGATTTCTCTGCCCCGCGACCCTGCTTAACGCTTCTCGTTTCATCAAACACCGTATTCATCGTTCGCCTCCATGGTATGATTCGAGGTTGGTGAACGATTTTTTCCATGGAACTTCTGTAGAACTTCGAGCAGATATTCATATACTATCGAAGCTTAGAAAAACGATTCGAACAATGATCGGTCTTTCTTCGAGTAGTTCAGTACTTGAAAAAGCAGAACGAAAAGAACATGCAGGACGTTTGTTCCAGACAGTTAAAAATGTAAAGTGGCCACAAGCCAAAGAGGATTATTTCGATGTTGCGGCCGTTGCGGATTCAGCTGGACGCGAACGCATGTTGCACACGCAACATGCGTAGTTTCAGTGGATTGTTTTTTCGATATTCGTCGGCTCAGACGCGCCAAATGAGAAAGTATGCTACAATGAAAGAAGATGGTTAGAAGAAGAGAAAAGGCAGATGAACAAAAACCTATAAAACATAAACAAAACTATGCAGAAATAGTGTGAGATTCATAGAAAAGGGAAAGAGATCGCGAGATCGAATGGGATGGAGGGGATAACAGAAAAACGGGAGGAGCGAAGAGGAAAGGAGAATATCACCAATTAACGCTAATTTCTGTTAATGTCGGCTCCCTCTGGGTATTCGTGAAATAACTCGTCAACTTATTAGGCTACGATGCACAAATTGTGGGTGGATGAACAGAGAAGAAATTCTAAGAAATGAACAGGGGAAATGCTCTTCAAGTGGCAAAGTCTGCGACGATTCTTTATAAAAATTCGCGGAGTCTCGGAAAGCGTGATTTCTGTCTCAGCCCTGCGACCAAAAATGTTCTATTTTAAGAGCGGCGCGTTTCGAATTAAGATCGAGATACTTTACGATTTTTCCGTAGCTTGTACTGCTACAACTTTCGATGCATAGAAATTACGTCATTTTTAAACGAGATAAAGAAACTATGACAATGTGAAAGAAGCGAAGAAATATTTTATTAAAGCCCTATAAAGGAACCTCTTGTGTTTTAAAGTCTTGATATTTGGATTCTAGGCATTCGATAATTTTCTTCGAGGCTCCCGGTTCTCGTGTTCTATACTATCGTTCGAGAGGGGTCAAGAAGTCGCGACGATAAAGCCTAACCACGCACGCTGCGTGCCATTACATTTTCAGAATAACAAAATGTCTCCAATTACGTTTCCTCCCAATCTGTTAGACACCAAAGTCGTCGTGCCTCTAACACACACTCGACAATACGAGAGAATCGCTTGTTTTCGCAGAACGTTTCGTCTCTTTTATCGTTTCCGCGATTGTTACGCGGGGCATATCGCATCGGTCTTCTTTTTCTCCTCGCTTCTTCTCGAGACTTCTGTTCTCGAGGTTTCACCGGGTGTCAGGTTGAAACGATACTTTGTGACGTTATTATGCGTGTGGTCACATGTGATCTCGTTTCTCGGATGTTGTAAGCCGAGCGCGAAAAATATGTTCCGAAGAAGTTTATCCAATTCGCGGATAAAGAGAGAGAGAAAGGGAGAAAGAGAGAGAGAGAGAGAGAGAGAGAGAGAGAGAGAGAAAAGACCTAGGGGGATCGCGCATCTGTTAGGATTTCCAGGTTTCATTGGACAATCGAAAGAAGATAAGCCGATCGGTCAACTATGTAGATGAATTTTTATTAGATTAGAAAGCGTTTCTCGTAAAACCATATATTAATAGAGGAATACTTATCGGATGTGGTTTTAGCGGTTAGGAGTTAATCTTGTTTGCGTGAGATCGTGAATGTATTTGTGAGGAAAATAAGAATAATGTTTCTCTTATGTACATATATATCTAAAACAATCGGATCCTCATTACGCTGGACAATCAATTCCCTACGGCGTGAAGCACGTGATCGGTGTTACTCGAAAGCTTTTACGAGATACAACGATATTCCATGTAAAGCTGTAAAATATAATATATTATATTGCAAACCAGTGATTCCTAATTCTATTTAATGGTAAAACGCATTTTAATTTTCATATAAAAAGTATATGTACGTATGTATTACTTGACTACGCGATGTTCAAAGAAATCGTGTTTAACTTGACTGAACAATTGGAGGAAATCTCATGACCTCTTAACTTCTATTTGACACTAGTGTTCATTGATGCGTTCTTTTGCACTTATTAATGCAACAACCTGGCGTGGTCAATTCTTCGGAATGATCCGATGTTCGTTAGAATCTTCTAATCTCATATTGCCGAAATCTTTCGGTAACACTACACTGCCGTTTCGAACGGATTCCGAGAAGGGTATCGAACTATCTCAAATTCAATCGATTAATGAAAAGTCGACGAGGAGATAAATACACGGTAATCACAAGAAACGATCTCGAAGGATCGAAATACGAACCGTCACTAGAAATAAATAAGCTTTATCATAAATGGAACGTGTACAATAAAATTTATATCGTTTCAAGCTTTGTCACGTGCTTCTCTTGCGTTTTGTACACAGTTTTCTTCCCGCACGCTCGTCGAATAACTATAAATAACGAAAAATTCCAAATTCGATTGAACAAACTGACAATGAGACTTCGACTTCGTTTGGTTTGGCGATTTCAAACATTTGCAAAGATCCGCCGCGCCAAAAAGGATAAATGGAAGTATCGCGATCTAAATCACTGAACGATTGTTAAAGAATGGCGAACTAGTAATTCATGACAAACGTTCATCTTTTTCTCACGCGATTCGTTTGTTTCACGAATTAAGAATTGTTTGGGAAGAGGCGAAAAAACACGCGCACGACACATGCATCACAACTGCAGACTGACGACTGAGCGATAAACTGTTCTTGATTGGCTTAATATAGTCGGACGAGCGCTGTAATTGGCCGCTCCTTGCCGCGCGGGAAATGATTGGTCAATTTAATCCTAGAAGCACGGTGCATTAAGCATTCAACCAGCGTTCAGTACCTATTAACGGTTCGCAAGAGAGGCACTGCCACTGCTACCGCCATGGTTTTCTGCACTGTGTGACGATACACCTAGTCACGGTGGTGGTGTATGGTTCTTTCTTTATCATCTTCTATATGTTATGGCCTCATCCGAAGTGTCTCCCCGTCTAACCCCGTCGTTTTCTCTTTTTTTTTCTCTCTCGCCATCGTTCCAAATCAATTTACCAATTGAAATCAGTGCCGGACAGTGAAGAATCGCGTCACTGAATGGTCCGCCAACCGACGGGCAATGTGCGTTCTCCCCTGTGCCTGCCTTCCACCGCTTGTTTTATCAAACCATTCACCGGCTCACCAAATCCTTATTGCCTTGCCTTGGCGCACGATTTGAATCGCGCGGCTGATGACACAACCTCTCTGTAACAGTGCTTTTCAACCTTTACTTACTGATCGAATTACACATATGTTCGAGATATGAACCATTTGATACGGAATTGTCGGTAAACGGAAATTGAAATCTACCACGGAAATGTGGTAACGTAAAATGAGACTCTTTATATAGAATAAAAGATACGTTCAACGATAAATTTGATAAAAAGAATATATATATATACTTTTGAAACGAGAGTCGCTGCGAGAATAGGGAATTATTTAAGATATAAAATAATATTAAATAACGTTAAAAACTTTTATTCTTTTATGGAATAAGATTTTATTTTTTGATGATTATATTTTGAATAACTACGTAAGTCGTGAGACGCGATGGAAAGCCTGTTTAATAATATAATAAAAGTAATCTAAGGATTTAAGAAATGCATTAAAAAACGCAAAAATTAATTTGCAATATAATTAATTTATAATTTTTTATTCATTTATAAAGTAAAACGAATATAAATTTCTTTATAAATTTTGGTATGACTTTCGTGGTGGCAGTTGAGAATCGCGGGCACGGGTGATGAAGCGTCCGAGACGTTGATTGGTCGAGAGGCTCCCTTCCGGTTTAGTAAGTATATTTTTGGTGGTGAGATTTCCCGCGCTACGATTATTCGTTTTCCGGATATATTTTAATTTTATAAGTGGAATAAGTGGCTTTATATATAGAATGAGTCGTTTAATATCGTAATAACAATTCATTTAACGATTGTGACGCGTTTAGAAACTTACCGTGAATTACAAGCAGAGTGAAATATATTTGAAATTTCCAGGACTACCATAACGAAATATTCAAGATGGTAGAACATTTTTAAACAATTCGTAAGTAGATTCAACATTAATTTACTGCTATTATTTTTGAAATATCGAATAAATTGAACTTAATCACGATTATACGATGTATGTACCCATCGAAATTATGGCATTTCTGTGTGAAAAGTAATCGTGCTGAGGTGAATTTCTAAATCATCATCTACGGCACTACTACTTAACAGACAGATCAGCACATTAAGGTAACGTGGTAGCCTCTCTCTAGCTCTTGTGTCCTCGACAATTGCCCGCTGACTGCGTTAGACGAAATGCAGACCCAAATATATACGTCTAAATGGGATTAAAGTTCGAATTTTCCATGGTCATTACTCAGACGATTTGTCCTATCTCGTTATGCATAAATTTTCTTTCGAGTTTACCTCCAAATTGAAGGAACTCGTCTGCTTTTTATAAAGAGAATCATACATATAATAGATCATCTCGATACATATATAAATGCAACTTCGTGCGTTTCGAGGCATCTGTCGGGAAGATAGCTTAATTTGCGAACATGACAACGAGTGTGTTCTTTTCCCGCCCGTTGTTACGGTCACAAGTCGAAATATCTTCGTCCTTAACCACTCTTACCTGAAAGAATCATCATATTTTTATTTCAAACTCTTTAACTCAACCCTGCTGCGATTCTCGAGCTTTTTACTTTTTAACCTCACTTAATTTTGGTCTTTGCCTATACCTTTAATTTTGATTTTCCAATTTCACTTTAGAGAAAGGAATTTTTAATGCTTTAAGAAAACTATTAGTATACAATTGAAACGGGAAATCATACGTGACAGTAGCGGTTTTCTTTTATATGAGTATTTTAAAGCGGTCACGTTGGAAGCAATTATTTTTATATATAGCTCCTTTTTTAAGAAATATTCTAGTAATAGAAAAATACGATTCGTTGACTCAAAAATGCAGCAAAGTTAAAATACATATATGCGACAACGCTGTGTAAATTGTATATACATGCGTCGTTCTCACAGCATTACTTTAAATATTATCGCTTATGCAAAGTATGTATGAAGACAACTTCGAATAGATTTATCAGTTCAAATAGTTGGTCATAGTGTGAATCATCGGTAACCAACATTTTCGGTTGTTTTCATTGTTGGTACTATCTATATCTATACAAATATCAAGGTTTGGAAATCGTATCGTTAGTAGAGCAATTACTAATTGATCGAAGGACCGTGAGTAGGTCCAGTCGTGCAAATTGACGAAGAATGACGATGGTCGTATAGAGTTTAATGGAGGAAAAGGACAGCTTGTTGATTAATGTGTGCACGCGGTGTGCCCCTATGCCGCAGAATGTGCTCCTGTACAACCGTCAGCTTGCACTTGGGAATAGTTTGGTCATTTCGTGATAATCGTCGTCTCTGCCTGGATAGATTCACGCACAATTTTCTCATGCGGGTCCATTTTACTGATTTAAAGCAACTTACGCAGCGTGTAACGCACCTTTTATTAGTATACAATCCCTGTTAGTCTTTTCTTTCGTCGATGCCGATCCATTGTTCATCGATTAGACTAGCCTCGTGTCCCGTGAGATTTAAATAAAACATGGTTTAGTGGCTATTCTTCGTGCGTCTTCAAATTTACGATCAGAGATCTCTGCTATAATGAAATCAGTTCAAAAATCACTAGTATGTTTGGTTACTTTATTATTCGATAATTTGAGAAAAAACGGCACCTTATTCAGTTTTAAGTCATCACATATGTTTATATATTTTCCTTTTGAAAACGTATAAATAATGTCCGTAAATATCGTTACACTTACTTTTGGTTTATGGCACTTCGTTTTAGTTTATTCTTCCTAAGTTTCTTTAATACAGAAGCACAATTATACACAGTTTCGTTGCTCATCAATGCCTGTATAACGATTTAAGGTGGAATGAGCGTGCCATCGAAAATACACTTCGTAGCGTACAGAAGACACACGTGCACAGGTGTTTCCTGAAATCACGTGTGCCACATATGACTCTAAAATGATACCGTACTGCTTCTCGCAAGAGAAAATATATTTTATTCAACCTAGAGCAAAATAGAACTTCCGAATCTCTCAATTTATTAACGGAATTCTAAATTAAATGTATTACGATGTAAACATTCGGAACATAAGATTTAATAGTAACAAACATACAGAGTAGTTTTGAATTTGAAATATTATATCGGACTTTCGACTTGAGATTGGATTTGGCAAGCGTCTGAGTGAAATTTAGTGAATTTTCCCTGAATTTCCATGGAAATTCATGATTGAACGAGGGAATGGCCCCGGCCGAGTAATTTAGAAGAGTTTATTAAATTGGGTAGAATGCTGTGCGTAGGCCTACGCCGGATACTCGGAGAATGAATCTCATCCAACGAGAGGAAGTTCGAATTAACTCGAGCCACTGCCAAGGGGGTACGGCAGAACCCCATATACTATAAACTCTTGTCCCATTTATTCTTTGCACATTTATGCGTCATACACGACAGTCGTCGATGGAAAAATGTCGTTCCAATAACAACAAATTTCAAGTACTCTAAATCGATGTTAAATTGGTATATTATAAAAATGATAAAGTGGTTGATAAAATTTACAGTAGATTACGGATGTTTATGGAAATTCATATTTTTAACCTGGGAAGTTAAATAAGGATTTGTTTCGTCAACTAAATATTATATTTCTAATATTTTATATATCTGTACATATTATGTGCATCCACGGTATAGTACTTATAAAGTTTAAAGGTAGAAAATATAATAGAGAATTAAAATTTCGCTGGTATACGATAGAGCCACATGCTATAAACTTTTGTCCTATTTATTCTTTGTATCTGAATGTGATTGGTGGCAAATTTGTATAACAAAAACGATCGATGAAATTTAAAGTTCAAAAGTGTAGAATGTAACAGAGAATTAAGACTTATTAGAATCATTTGACCCTGCTTCTTACAGAGTATTAAGACTTTAATGAGTTTATTTTATGCCGGATAGGTGGGGGGACATAAAGGAAAGGAGACGAGAGATCGTATCGCTGAATCGATAGAGAAGGAAAGACATAAAAGTATGTCGTACATCGCGCTACTTGAATTGTAGTACTTTGACACGATCAGACCCTGTAGTATTCGATCTGCGTGGGCGGTCATACGAAACGAATAAAAGGATAGAGAGATAATTAGATAAAAGAGATAGGTCATTTTTTGCGGTTCGTCGTTAAATTTATTCGTGGAATGTACAGTGTTAATGATAAAATATATAAGAATATACACGATATTATGAATCATTTGTATCATAATATTTACTCATTTTTACAAACAATAATACAAGATATACATAATGCTAGAAAAGACTGTACAGTATGCCAGTCGAAATAACAATATCAGCATTCCTCTTTTATCTATAATTTATTCATCCTCTTTCACAAATAATATCTACAACGCTTGGTTCCATTAAGACTGGTTCTAGACATCTGTGTACAGCACTTCCAAGTATCTCGTCTAATAGGAAATGGACAACACTGAAAAAATATTTCGTGTAAGATTATTCTTGTACAAAACAATAATGTCTTAGACTTACTTTTCATCTGAAACAAATCTCCATAGATACAGTTGTAGATAATGCGTGTCAACTTGGATTTGTTGCAGACCATATTTACTGAACGTTCGTAATCTTACGCATTCCAGGAAAGTCTGTAAATAAAGAATAATTCTTATCGTTCGTTTAGGATAGAATATTGAGTCTTGATAGTATCGAATGTACAAAATATGTTGCGTAGTATACAGTATACGCAACGCGAGAGAATAAGGTATCTTCGTGATGCAAAGTGGATAATGGCTGTGCTATTTTATCATTGTAAGTGGCTGACAGCACCTGTTTCTATTACAGTACTGTGTCTGCTAAAAGTATTTTACCTTTAAACTTATTTTGATAATCCCCGTAAGTATCGAGGCTTTATTGAATTGAACCGAGGAAAATATTTCTATACGTTCCGAAAATAACTTATGAATATTCGTCACCAATGACGAATCCATATGATTGGGTGTGTACGACGACCAGCTTGATCTATAGTGATGTCTCGACACACTCACGCTAGAAACAAAGCAAGTTATTTAATGAAACGTCATTAATCGTTTAGAAAACGATTATATTGTACCTATGGGTTTTTCTACTGCTGTCGCTACTTCTGTCGACTTGACCATCAGAATCGTCGTATAATGCAGCTACTTGAGTGTCGATTAACGTCACATCTTCTACGACCCTCTTCATTACAGCTCTAACGGTTCTTGGCTCGATCGTATGCAACCAATCTCTCGTTTCGACGGATTTTCTTAACATTTGCGATACTGCTAAGCCTTGAATGCGAACGTAATGGTTCAATAAATTTTGCGCTGCTTCTTGGAATTTGTCGCAAATCTCTGCTTCAGTTGTAATAACGTTTCCAGATGATGTGTACTGTTCGATGTTGAATAAATTATCAGTAGTAGTAAGCTGTAATTGTTGAAAAATGTCAAAACGATTTCTTATAGATTTGTTTTTTAAAATTACTTTAAAATTATTCACTCTACCAAATATTTAACATTATTTTCTTTGTACTCGATGCACATTTTGCTCAATAAAAGTAACAGAGTGGGTGGGAATTTTGGAATATCAGAGCCGGTAAAAAATTCACTTGCAGTGATCACTAAATGATGTAAAAATCCAACTACTAGGCCTTCCCTAACCTCATCCACACAGAAATTTTGCAGGAATTGCGTTTTTAAACTAAACGACAGATCCGGTTGCAAAAATACCTAAAATTACATCATTTTTAGTTAATCAAAATAAATTAAAAAATGCTAAGGATAAAAGACAAACCAATAAATCCTGCAAAACTCCTTTAATTTTTTCTATAGTAGGTATTATCAGTAATGCCTGAAGTTCTGCTAAACTATTATCTCCGTCCTGAGAAGCTTTGGTTGTCAATATTTGTCTCACTTTAACAAGTGTTTCATTTAAATGAGACTTTAAATTGTCTAAATGATTGCGACATTGTTTTCTACCCACGTTAATAACAATATTGGTACCTGTTCTGTAAATAAAAAGTACACGTTTTAATCTGGATTTTACTTTATATAAATATAATAAAGACTATTGTTTTATTACCTTGCAAAGTCTGTATCTTTACACAACATATTCATTGCTTGCAGTCTTCTATGGAATTTATCTAATGCTTTTACTAAAATAGCTGTATCAGCTACACTTTCTACTCTCTTACTAATTAAATCAAAATATTTTTTCATATTTTTCATGATAAAGTTATTCGAACGTGTGATGGCTTTTGCATCGAAATCATCAGTAAATTCATTATTTTCTGATGGTGGCTGATTTATAAACATGTCATTGTACGATGCAATGATCAAACATAAGTCACTTAGAAATCCTGAACTAGTCATATCTACAAATTCTATGATATCATTTTCATACATATCTTTTAGAGCATCTAGTTGTTCAACTAATCTTCCATCTGCATGTGTTAAAAATTCGGCACACAAAGAATCAGCTGGTTCTTTTAGCTGTAGCAAAAGATCTACATTTTCAGCTAAAGATACAGTTGATACATCTCTTTTATGAAATTGCATTCTCAGCCTTGACTTGAGTTCTTCTACAATATCCTCACAATCTTTTTGTATTCCTTGAAAGGAAGGCATATTACCATACTGATTCAATACACGTTGTGCATGAATATAATCTTGTACTGCCTGAAAGTTACAAATATATTTTTATGTAGATGCAATTAGATATATGTAAAATGAAAGGAAGTGTATATAATATAATGATATACAATGTGACATAGACCTGTGCATAATTCTCTTCATTTATTTTATCTTTTAAATTGCCAGGCAATTTAAAGAGGAATTGCAACCTTTTTAACAGTGTATGAACTGAAGATAATTTGGCAATCTGTTGTCTAGTACCCTGTAATGTTGATGAAATCTGTTCTGAAAAAGAAGTGATACTGTCCATGTTTTTCGCCAGTAAATTCATACTATCTTCCATTTTCTTAAAATCTGTTTTCATCTAAATAATGAATATTGAATAAATATTAAAAATTGAATAAATAATCATATTTATACAAAATCTGGGCAGATTTACCTTCCTGATAGTATCTGTAGCAGATATAAATTTATTATAATTTTCATATACTAGAGTTTGCATATCAGAATGTAAAATTTGAGTATTTTTTATGATTTCTGCTTCGTGATCCATAATTTGTTTTAATGTACACTCCTGCATCAGAAGTAAAATTAGTTCGTGTTGTTAAACAAATATAGAAAATAATAAATATTAGGAAATGTACTTACTTTTAATAATTTTTGGAAATACATATCAGGATTAAAGTGCTGTCCATTAATATCATATGGATTGTTCAAATTTTCTGCCATTTTGACTAATTTATTCGTATTTTTTATTCGTAAAGCAAAGTTTTGACAGTAGAACTTTGACAGGTTAGCTATTGTATTGGCAAGTTACAGCTGTATTATTTAAATTCTGAGGAAGGTTAGGTGGAAGACGCTTTAACAAGCAGCATAACCTCTCGTAGCTTAAGAAAAGCGCAACAAGTATAATAACACGAAGAGAAAGCAATTTTTTAACATTCTTTTTGAAAGAAGACGTGTCTTACGAAAAATTGTAATATTCCGAACTTTTTGAATATTATTGCATTGCATATAAATGTTAAAAATTTAAGATACATTTAGGGTTGAAAAATAATGAAGGTGTTATCATATTTTATTACCGGATTTTATTCTTTAAATATCATAAAACTACACCATATACAAAAAGGTTGTAAAAAAATTTAATTTTAAGTCTCTTGAAAAATGTGCTAACTGTGACGTTTGAAAAAACGTTTGATTAAGAGTTAACGTTTTTCATGAAACTGTGACAAAATGGAATTCTCTATTTGACGAATGTATAGAGGCGAAGAATAATTTAAAAAGATGCCACATCCGTGTGTCGTATGCGGTCGTTCGCGTATGAATCCAAACAATAAAGAAGAAGAATATATGTTTTTTGGATTTCCCGTCAACGATGAAGCTCGATGCAGAAAGTGGTTGGAATTTTGCTGTCGCGAAGATTTATATAAACTTACAAAGAAACAATTACTTCAACGAATGGTATGTTCTAAGCACTTTGAACAAAAGGATTTTTTAAATGAGTATCTTGACAGATTAAATTGTACGGCAGTACCCTCAATTTATGATCCTAAACAAAGTTTGTACAACATAACCTGCGTATTATGTGGTCGATCTCGTCGAGATCCATCAGATTTAGATTATGACGGCGTAACATTTCATCATTTCCCTGGCGAAGAATTTCGATGTTTAAAATGGCTTGATTTTGTTGGTGTAGATTCATATTATAGATTGACTAGAAAAGAAATTTTATTTTGTTACATTTGTTCAAAACATTTTGATCGTTCCCAATTTATGCCTGGTTATAAGAGCAGATTGATAGACAATGCTGTTCCCAATATCAGAAACCCTGATCAGGTGGATGGATCTGAACAATATATTATGGAATTTGTGTTTGAATCAAAATATAGTTCCTCAGACAAATCTAAGAAATTAGAGCCTTTACCACCTGCTGTCTTAGAAAGTCAAGCATGTGCTGCTTGTGGTAGATCAAGATCTGATCCAAGAAATAAAATAGAAAGATACAAGTTCCATCCTTTTCCTGCTTATGAAATTGGCAGGTGCTTAAGATGGTGTCAATTTTTGGGTAGAGAGGATTTATTAAAAATGTCACCAAATCAAATAAGAAAGTTGGTACTTTGTTCAAAACACTTTCAAACAGGACAAAGTTTTCATAAAGTCGGACCATGTGATGCAGTTCCAACTATAAAGGATATATCACAATTAGACTGTGACAATTCAACAGAAAAGATAGAAGATGACCAAGATATGTTAGAAGAAGCTAATTGTAATAATACAACTAAAGGAATTAAAAAGCAAGGTTTTTCAAGACCTTTAGTATCTAGTAAAAAACCAAAGGTAGATAATAAGCCCACACCTCTTGCAAAGAAACGTGGGAAATCTAGAAGGCCAACTCTTATTAACATTCCAAGGCCTGATCCTGATAATATTGAAAATCGTGTGATAAGAAAATTACCACTTCCTCCTACCTCTAATTGGAAAATTCAATTCACAGATCAATTTCAACCCATAACAATAGCAAATCATATTACACCAAATATTTCAAATAATATGCAAGGTAACATAAAGAAAGTAATCCTACCATTTACTGGTGATATATCAAACTTAGGTGCTCCTATTCCAGTGCATAGTTTATCCAGTATTCCCCCTGGTTTATTAATTAAAATAGATCTTCCTGAACAGGAGCAACAAAAGATGAAAGCAATGAAAAAGCAAACTAGACCAAAAATAACACATACTCCTATTGCTTCTAATGAAATTGATACAAGACAGCAAGTGTGGGTGAAAAATGGTGAAGCTTCAGTCACATTGCCAGTTATAAAACAAAGCAAACAAGAGACAGATAAAAATTTAGTTGAATTTCTGTCAACCTCTCTAGAGGAAACAGAAGGTAAAGTAGTAACTGAAGAATTAGAAGTACATGAGGAAGTTGTATTACCACATACATTGGAAATGTTAGATGACGAAGCATCTAATGTGAAAGAAGAGCAATTTTATGAAGATTTTGAAGAAGTAGAATGCTTATCGTCAAAAGAGCAAAAGCCTGTCAGACGTAGAAAAGGTTCAGGAACAATGAAAAGAACAATTTTTCCTATTAGAAGTGAAGTCAAATATTTTCTGCGCAAATTGGCACCTCATATGCATAGATTACCTAGGAGAGCTAGAGCACAGATGAAACTTGCAATTGTTAATATGGTGATTGATCACTTGTAAATTTGCTAAGATATAAATAAATCATAATATTTTTAAGAGTATATAATTAAATATAAGTATTCTAAACTCTTGTACACATTACAGCTACTTATATATTAAGAGAGATGAGACATATATCATTTAGAGAGTGACAATTAAGATATATTATTTTTATTATATATTTATAACATGATGGTGATAGGTATGATAATAATATATCTAAAATAACAAAAATTTTTGTAGAGTACAAATGATATGTGTAGCAAATTATTCAATCATTTTTATGTCATTTGATTTTATTATTGTTGAAACGTACATTTTTGCATAACAAAGATATAGTACTGTTATAAAGATTTTTAAGAACTTACAAATTTTTTATGATTAAAAGTAATTGACATTGTATCTTAAATTCTTATAATAGGAACAATGTATAATTTCAGTTTGTAATTTATGTGAATGTGTTTGTACTTTTATGTATGTACATATGTATATGTATATATATAGCGATATTATGTTGCAAAAAAAATATGTAAAAAGATTTATGGTGCAATAAAATTTTTTGACAAGATCTTGAAATATAAGATGAAAACAATGTAAGTATTTTTTAGTTATTTAAGTGAGTAATTTATGTATTTTTTAAATCAATTTGCATATTTTCTTTAAATATACAATGTAGTTTGAGAAGTTTAAAGTTTATGGAATATAAATTTCAAAGGTATTAAGTCTGGTATGATAGGTATCCACATTTTATCTACATTAGAAATATTAATATTTGGTTGTTCTCGAGGGTAAAGAAGTAATGGTTTAGAGAAATCTCCACATAATCTGATAGGGTTTTTTATCCACAAAACTTTTGCAGAAGCAATTGATTCTAGCATAAATGATTGAAATCAGGATATCATCTAATTTTATTGTATACTGAGTGAATTTGTACTTTTACTTACCTACATTCACTTTAGGTAGTAAATAGTGTTCTGTACCAATGCCATAAGATCCGAATTTATTTACTATTTCTTGATAGTCTGTACATTTACACAATATGCCAAGAGGATGCTCTACACAAATATCAAATTTGGGGTACATAGTTTGTTATAAAATACTACAATTCTGTGATTTAGTATAAGTTAATATCAAAATACTGAAGTTGAAAGTGAACTCGGCAACTTTAAAATTATGCATGTGTAAATAATATAATGACCTTTTGTGTACATGTATTTACTAGTAATCTATATAATGCTTTTGCATTATTTTTATTGTATTAGTATATACGAGAGGTGTAATTAGAAAGTGCACAAATCAATAACAATAAAAACCATTGTATATATAACACAAATTAATACAAGATTTTGGTGATTGTAATTAAATTAAGAATATCTTTTAACATAATACAATCGAGAAGCCAGCTTCTCTGTATTTATGACTTTCACATGGAGTTGAAATATAGTGGCAGCCTACGAATCACGCACAGATTATAAAAGCTGGATATAAAAGCTGTGTAGATGAAATAAAAATTTTTGTTTCATTCTTATAATAATTATTTTCTTTTGACTATTTAATATAAAAGCATTAATTAGATATTGTTAAGAAATGTTATTAAAATATGGTAGGCATTCATTTCACTGTATTTGTACATTATGTATGTATATGTCCAATAAGTACAAGCTGATTTTAAAGTCAATGCAAATGAATTATTTATATATTACACCTAACTACGGAGACTTTGTAGTCTCATTTTCATTTCTTCGAGTTCCTTATCATCTACTTTTTCAGTTTCTTCTTCTGCAGAAGTAGATGCTACAACAGATCCTGGTGCTTCTGTAACAACTGCAGGAGCTGTACCTAATTGACCAGCAGTTACTTCCCATAAAATCTGTAATATACGTTATGTATTTTATTAGTATGTCGTTTATGTTCTTTAAACATATACAGATGACCTACTTTATCAATTTCCTCGTCTGCTTCATCTTCTACTTCTTCAGAATCTTCCACAGATTCCATAGTTTCATCTAACATTTCTTCAATAATACCAGCTTTCATCATTTCCTTTGACAATTCTCTCATTGTCGCTGCTACCTCTGGTACTCTTACTAATGATTGCATTGCTTGCATTACTTCTGTGGATTTTTGGACTGAACCAGCAACTCTAATCGTTGCTAACTGATTCTTCATTTGTAACGAAACAGAATTCATTTGTGCCTTTGACGTGTGAAGCTTGTTGCAAGCTTTACGTGCACGTATTATTTCCTTTGCTAGAATTTTACAGACATCCTTGTCACCTTTTTTTGCTGCTTCTTTTAAAGAACGTTTTACCTTTTCTTCTTCTCGCTGAATTGCTGTACATGAATGTTATTTGCGTTAGAATACATTCTATAAAATACCAGTAGTAATTGCTTACCTCTAACCTGTCTATCCATTTGATAGCCTTCTTTCCTTAATTTATGTGTCCATTCTTGAACCTGAAATACGATTTCTTGTAAATAATTGAATAGATAGATAGATTTTCATTTTGTTTCTAACCATTTCTTTCGGATTCTTTTCCTGAGATTTGCCAAACAAGCCCATTTTTTTGCTATGTTGACAGAAGTTCGTATCTGCCAAACATAACCAAGCTACCTTCCAGTCGAATCACAAATTATTCTAGGTAACTATTAGGATTACGTCATTGCTGTATGAATCACCAATCTTTACACGGTGATAAAAAACAGACACTGACAGATATAAAAGATAAAAAGAAAAGTATTTAACGCGATAAATATATGTTGATATTACTATTCTCCAACAAAATTTTTGAAATTATTTATTTAAAAAAAATTGAGAAGGGTTTAATCTTCCTTAAATTTTTTAAAACATATATTTTATTTATTTTTTCTTTACACTATATAGGAAAATTCGAAAACAAATATGACATACTGAAGTATAAAAGCTATTAAAATGTAATCAAGGAACTTATAGAATAACGACATACATTATACATTTTAAAATAATAAAAATATGTTTATATTCTATTATTTGTATTTAATACTATATCTTTTAACCAATTTAATACTGTTGTCACTATTTCTACTCGTTTGTCCGCGTCTTCATTTGTGTTACGTTGATATCGATACCTCTCAAAATCAAAGTTTGTTGCATCATCGTGTGGATTATTTTTTATCCCCCTTTCTTTGACATCAGCATTAGTTTTATAATTTTTTGATCGCTCGTCAATCTTTTTTTTCGCACCAAAATTCCACGCAGTTTGCATTTTCCCCGAGTTCAGAGATAGATTGTATCTTCTCGCGAAAGTTTCCACGGGCATCGAGAAAATCTGTAAGCTGTCGTCAGCTGAATCGCATCTTTCTCGTTCGTTCAGTGAAACTGATTTCATCGATTCGCGTTTGAAAATTCTTCCATCTGTCCTATCAGCATTTTCCGTTTCTAAATTTCGCTTCACAGTTCGAAGAATGTTGCCGTTCTTGGGTACGCAACAAGGGCACTCCTTGTTTAATAGTTGTTCGCAGATGTTCCTGGAAATCGATAAAGCGTAAGAACCATCGTGCAGTTTTCTTATCTCCAAGGGTAGTTTGACACCGTCACCGATGTAAAACAACTCGGAATTTTGAAGACTTTGCACGTCGTCCGCGTTATTCTCATTTTTCTTCGTGATTTTCCCCAAATAATAAGTAAAATCGTTTGCGGAAGTAGCATCATCATCATAAAGCGCCGTTGTCGAACTCTTATTTTCCAATTCCATCGATCTTTCTGTACTTTCAGTCGCTTCTCTATGCATAACATCAGCATTTTCTGCTGGATTCATCGATGGAGAATCATATTCTACAGGCGTGTAATCTTCTGTTTCCGTAGATAGAGATTTGTCTTGAGTACCTAAGGTAGCAGCAACGTTCCAATTTTCGGTGGAAATCGAATTATATGTTGCAACTTCAGGAATTTCTTCCAACGTTGTCGTCTCAAATTCTTCCATCTCAGTTTCTTCTGCATTATTCGGCGTTTCATTTTGTTGAGAAGATTCTTCTGCACTCTGATCTATCTCAGTGATTGGATAACTGGTAGCATCCTCTGTTCCAAAATTCATTGCTTCTCCTATCATTTCTTTATCCGAAGATTCCATCGAAGAAGGTGTTTCCTGATTTTCTATACCTTTTTCATATATAGACGATTGTAAAGTGGATTCGCTTTCTTTCTTATCGTCTACATCTACTTCACTTTTGGCGATATCCAGAAGCTTATTCATATCGATATTGGAAATATCAAAAGTGGTAGATTCGGGTATATCCTTTGTCGTGGGCATGTCTTCGTTTTCCATTTCCATTATGCTTACTTCGTTGTTCAACGTGCTTTGAATAATCGAATCGAAATTTTCATCGTCTGTTACATTTTTCGGTTTGAAGCTGCGTCGAATGCTTTGTACGATCATGTTCTGAACAGCAGGATTCTTAGCTGCCTGTAAACCAACAGCTGGGTCACGCAAAAGGTTTTTAACGTGAGCCTGCAGTTTTTGTAAATTTGTCTGAGCATGATCTTCTTCGTTCGAAGGTTTCAGTGTAACCAAATTCGTCACCCATTTGCCATTTTTGAATTGATGCTCCTCGACAGTCATCGGTGGAAGTTCTGCTTTGGAACTAGGCGCAGCGGATAACGTGTGTCGTAAATTATTTTTGATCACGTTGGTGGCCCAGTCACTGTCGAAGATCTTTCTATCCGTCCCAGTTACTTTCGACAGAAGATTCTTTATTTTATCCAGAACAGTGTTCTCTATCGACGGCATGGACAAAATGCTTTTCAAGTTCGGAACTTGTACAATTTCCGGCAGTAGATCTTCGCTCTTCGCGGAACCCACCGTTTCTTCATTCTCGTTGCCATCCATTTCAGACGAGTCACCGGTGGCAAAGCTATTAATTACCGTTTTTATCGATTTCTGGAGCAACGTGTTGTCACAGAAAGGCAACTGTTTCGATGGATCATTTATTCCTATAGTATCATCGTTGTTTCTGCTTGATTCTAAGGTCGACTGCAGGGAAGGATCGTCCTCATTTTTGTTGTTCTGGATCGTCACTCGTTCCGTTCCCACCTTTTCATTGTCAGTATTTATAAAACCTTCGTCTGGACTGCTTCCTTCGCCTCTTTCTTCAGATTTATTAGATTCGACATTTTCCATTTCGTAATCGTTATTTAACGAGCCAGCATTATTGTTCGTTTCCGGCAATTCACTCACAGAATCTTCCGCGGAAAATCTCTGCTTCGATGAATCGTCTTTATCATCGATCCTTGCTGACGTATCGGCTTCATTTGAGTTTTTCGAATCTCCAAAATTCAATATCCTTGTTTCCTCCGTAAGAGAAGGTTCTTTGGACTCGGAATCCTCTTCATTTTCTTCTGTACTCTCCAAAATAGGTTCTAAATTCTGGTTCGGATCATCGCCTGCATATTCTTCTTCGTTCCAATTAGGATTATTTCTCCCCAATTCAACATTCTCTTCAGTATTTCCCTGATCAGGATCGTTCGCGTCATTTAAATATTTCGTGTCCAAGTTCAGTTCATCTTCTTCAGATTCTCCCGAATTTTCCGTAGGATCATTATGTCTACTCTGCAAATTGACATTAGAATCATAATCTTGTTGCGAATTTGAACTCACAGCCTCCTTGCTATCGATACGGGGTTCTTCATTATGATATGGATCACTTTTTCCCGACATAAGATTTCTTTCGTTATTTGCTTCATTTGGGTCTCTTGTCTCTTCTTCTGTATTCTCCACATTGGATTCTAAATTCTCGTTCGAATCATCGTTTGCAGATTCATCTTGATTCCAAAGAGGATTTCCCACAACATTTCCCTCGTTATTTCCTCGATCAGAATCCTCCGCGTTATTTAGATCTTTCGTATGCAAGTTCATCCCAGCACTTGCAGATTTTCTGCAATTATCTGTCGGATCATTGTGTTTACTCTGCAAATTGACATCATAATAACGATTCTCTCCTGAATTTGGATTCACAGCAGTTTCCGTGTTGCTTATAAGATCATCGTAGTCGCTGAATCCGTCGTCTCGAGTTTCGTTGCCATAGGCTTTCGACGTGAAGTACACCGACGTAACTTCCTTGATATTCGAGTAATCTAGGGCTGCGCTGTCCGTCGTTTCGTATTCATCCGCGAATTCCTCTCCAAAGCCCGTAGGTATTGCATCAATCGTGTCAGGATTAGTAGCCTGTAGATTAGGATCTTTTTTGGAAGATCCGATCGTTCCCATCGATGTTAAGTGATTTTTCGATTCTGGTTGCACGGATTGCGAATTGTAACTAGGATCATTGGAATCTTCTTCGTTACTACCCGAAGTATCCTCTTCTGCAAATGTTTTTGAAGATGTCGCAGGATTTGTATTTCGAGACAGACTATTGCCAACCATATTTGGAGGACGCTGAGTTTGCCCAACAGTTGGTTGATATTTATTTGAATCGTGTTGACCAATCGGTGTTCGTTGCTCAACGATCGAATTGGGTCTATTACCAAATGTTTTCAATGGAATATTAATATTTGGCGTTCTTTCCTGACTTGGGATCCTGGTCATGGAAGGTCGAGGATTTGGGTGATAAACGTATGGAATGTACGGTATTGTTCCGTGTCCCTTCCGGGGAGAAATTGGATTCACATTGTTGGGTATATAGCCAATAGGCGAATATCGAGAAACGATAGGGTACGCCGCAGGCAATTTTTTGGATAAAGGTGATCGATGTGGAACATTTGCGTGAGTTGGTTTTAAGCGTTGCACGCTGCCTATAAGTGGATTTTCATTGTTTGGTTTCCTCGTTATTGTAGGTTTCTTCGTTCTTCGTGGCTTTGGAGCAACATCTGACGTGCCTTTTTCAGAAGAAGAATTATCTTTTTCTCTGCAGTAGCAAATGAATTTACCATCGTCGTATACACTCGTCTTTGACGTCATATTTTCTTGAGCAGCACCCACAGTAGGAGCTGTGAGTCCGAATTCTTTTCGAAGCGAGTCTATTAAACTTTCGTCACGAAAAGTTAGATTCTTTGCTTCTTCTATTGTGATTGGGCGTAGTATAGGTCTTGTCAGAGGTCTCTTTGAAGAAAGCAGTTGCAAGTTTGGCTTTAGACCAACAAAATATTCACGATCTCTTTCATTGTTTGGAGAGTTTTCTGTATTCTTCGATTTCAACGCGTATTCCTTGGGTACTCGCGCGGAAACCTTTTCCCTGTAGAACGGTGTCTTACATCGTCTCGTTTTTTCGTTTTGGCACTCTGTATTTTCTTTTCCCTTGGTTGTTGGCACCAGAATTAGCAAACTTCTTTTATTACCATCTTTGGAGTCAGCTCCATCTTGAATTGGCGAAGGGCCTGAGATTGTAGTACTAGTTCTGGAAAAAAAATTCGATCGTTTATATTAAACACATGTGTATATGCGTATATCTATGGCGCTATTAATATCGAAACATATTGAAATAAAATTAAATTTGTTGATTTATTAAATAATTTATAAAACACTTACGAATAATACACATATCGGAATTTTTTAATAAATGGCGAAAATCTATGATGTAATAATTATAGTTTGATATTTCACTTGCAGAAGATAATAGGACAAAATGACACAAAAAGGTCTTATATAAAATTATATGATCTGAAAATGATCTTATTATACAGTTTAATAATATGATTATATAT